GCCATTGTGCTACAGTCCCTTTCAGAGGTGGCCAGAAAGATAGTGTTAAATGGTTCCCCATTTCACTGAGAACTATAGCCAAATTTCTCACAATAGCCTATAAAAACCCCCCAGGATCTGGTCTCCTGTCGCCTCCCATCTTCTCTCCAATGCTTTTGCTCATTTCACCACAGCCACACTGCTCTCATGGCTGCTCCTGGAGCACACCAGGCCTGTTCTCACCATAGCTTCTTTGCTTTCGCTTTGCCTAGACAACTCTTCCCCCAGGTATCAACCTTCTTAACTCTCTCCACTCCTTCAAGTCTGCTGAAATCGCACCTTCTCAATGAAGAGCACCCCAATCGATTATCTTTGCCACCTGCGTCCCCTAATTTTTAGATTCCCTACTTTGCTCTACTTTTCTTTTCTTTTCTTCTTAATGGCATTTATCACCTTCTAGCATACTATGCAATTTATTTGTTTATCTTTTTTTTTTACTGTCTGTCTCCCTACTAGAATGTTAACAGGGATCTTTCTCTATTTTGTTCAGTTATTTCCCAAGAGGCTAGAACAGTTTTTGACACATAATACTTATTCAAACATTTGTTGAGTGAATGAATACATGAATCAATTGGTTTGAAGCAGCCTCAAATTATAACCATTTCAGAACACCCACCTGTCTTGACCCAGTCCTTATGGGAAATAAAAATTGTATTTGGGGACAGAATAAGCAGGTACAATAGGAAGCAGTGAACAATAAGAGTGGGGATGTAGGATTAGATCATGAAAGTCCTTGAATTAAGGGAAAACAGTACTTTGAGTGCTTATGTAGTAGGAAAATTACTATCAGATACTGAAGAAGAAGAACAATTTGGCCACAGGCCAAAACAGAGTAAACTCTGTACTCAGCCTAGAAACCTCTGTAAGTTGGCCCAGCAAGGTGAGCGATGACCATCTATGACCTCATGTTTTAATATAAACTAAAACCATTTAATACCATCAAGGCCAAGATACGTCTAATGGTCACATCACTCCTTGAACAGTCACTGGCATATTATATTATTCTCTACATTTTTCCATATGCTTGAAATATTTCAAAACTAAAATTTGTAGATGAAAACATGAAATCCCCCAGAAAATCAGGTAGGCCTGTGGTTGGATAGTTAAGTGACTATTCTAGGATTGATAACTTTTTACACATATGTGATTTTTAGTGATAGATGCAAAAGGCTTTTATTTTTAACTCAGCCACTGTCTTATCTTTTATTCAACCAGAATTATCATCTTCCTTGCTAGCCCCAATAAGAAAACTATTCTATCAGTTCCCCTTTCCAATTTTCCCATGTCTGGGTATGAGTCCACCAAAGAAACCTTGGATTCTTCCTGAACTCCATCCTTTATATCCAATCTGCCATTAATCTGTTCAAATGGTTTGGTTTTTTACTTCTTATCTCCTCTGCTCCCAACCTAGTCCAAGCCCTCATCAGCCCACACCTGTATTTCTGCATTAATTCATTTAATCCTCACAATGACCCTATGAAGTAGGTGGCACTTTACAGCTGAGGAGTCTGAAACATACAGAGAATCCACCCTGCTGAGAGTCAAAGTGCTAGTGAGTGGACAGCCAGGGCTGGAAACCTGGCAGCTAACTCTAGAGACCCTGCTCTTAACCGTTGTGCAACCAGGGTTTATTCATGGACTGAATGAATTGGCCAAATGTCCTGCCTCTGAGTTCTCTCTCCTTCAATCCATTCTATCTATTCATTTCCCTAAAAGTCTATCTCAACCAACTGCTCCACATCTTCAGCATCTAAAAAGACTCGACTACATATGATGTCAAAATTATATCTTGGGGGCCAGCTCCGTGGCCTAGTGGTTAAGTTCCACATGCTCCACTTCAGCAGCCCAGATTCAGTTCCCTACACCACTTGTTGGCAGCCATGTTTTGGTGACGACCCACATGAAAACTAGAGGGAGATTGACACAGATGTTAGATCAGGGTGAATCTTCCTCAGCCAAAACAAAAAACAAAAAAAAATTATATTTTCCCAAGGCCTTTCATAATCTGGCCAACCTCCCTCCCCTCCCCCCCCCCAACTCTTAGTGTTCACCAGTTCCTTTTGCACTTGCTTCTTCCACTTGGTCTATCCTCACAGACACCTCACACACTTCTGCCTCTGGTCTGAAAAGGGCCTCTGTTGCAACCCACTCCCATCTAATCTTCTTTTGGGTTCCCGGAGCACATGTGAGCTGCCCTGCCCTGTGGTTCTTAATTCGGTACCACCTGAGATGGTCTTTTAAATTTTTGTGTGTAGGCTTCAGCATTCAGGGGGTTTCTCAGTTGCACCACTAGTGACATTTTAGATTGAACAATTCTTTGTTGTGAAGGGCTGTCTTGTATTGCAGCATGTTTAGCAGCATCCCTGGCCTCTATGCACTAGGTGCCAGCAGCCACACCCCCTCACCCTTCTAACACCCACCTTCCCCTCCCAGTTGTGAAACCAAAACGTTTTCAGGCATTGTCAGAAGTCCCCTGGGGGCAAAATCACCCCCTAGTTGAGAACCACTGAGCTAGATTGCAAACTTTTCATTTCCAGGGACTGCATCTTCTACTTTTTGTCTTGTCCGTAGTGTCCAGCATCAGTGCCTGGCACACAGCAAGAACTCAATAAGAAGCTGTTAAGGCCGCACCAGTATCACACCATCACATTACATCAGGGCTCTACTTTTCAGTAACTCCTTCTACCAAAGCATCTCAGCTCGATGCTGGCCGCAGAGAAAGCTAGGTTGACCACGACCTTTTGACTAAGTGGAAGAGCAAAGCTGAAGAACGCTGAGCTTCCGGAGCTTCAGCTAGCACTTGTAGTGGGTCCTAAGTCTAAACCTTTTGTTCTAGATATATTAAAAAAAAAAACGCTTGTCCAAAATCAAGCATCAAACCATGAGATAACAAATGAGATGGCTAAAATCTCTCTCATTTTTTCTGTATTAGGACAGCACATGAGTTGGGCAGGCTTTAGGGTCAGACTAACCAGAAGTCAAATCATGGCTCCACTTTCTTGTAGCAACAAGGAGGGGGATTCTGGGCAATTACATAGGAGCCTCATCTGGAAAATGTAGGAAATAAAATCTATCTTCTAGGAAAGGCAGTTCCCCACTCCTACCAACACAGCCCTCACCACACGCAGGCACTACACTACGATCTCGCCATACTACACTAACTTACTCCCTACACATTGAAATAGGCCCTATCACCATCTCCATTTTACAGATACAGAAACTGAGTAACAGAGAGGATCGATAATTTGTCCAAAGCCACAGAACTAAAAAGTTGTTGAACCAGAATTCAAGCCCAGAGAGTTTGGCTCAGAGTCCATGAGCATAATAACAAGATTATTCTTCTGGATGAGAAGGTTAAATAAGATAGCAGAGGCGAAATGCCTAGAACACAGCAGTTATTCATTTAATTTCCAACCTTTTCCCTCACCCAGTTTCCTAGGAGTCACTCAGCAGTTATTGTTTGGGTACTCGCAGGCTATATTTACGGTAAACAGATAAAAGCAGATGTGGTTCTCCTTCCGAAGACAAAACAGGGGAAGAAGGCCAAGTAAGCCAAAGCTGATCTTCAGCCCCCAGCTCCTCTGTTTGAGCCCATTCTCTCTACCCCTGACTCAAAGGCAAATATTCCCTTCATTCAGGACTCTAATGGGCTCTCTGTCCACTATCAAAACAGCTTTCAGAAGAGGCTCTGAAAGTTATTCTTGGCAAGGTGTCAATGAAACAGTAAACAGAATAGTAAGCCTGTATTGCAGTGCTTCTTTTAAAGGCATTTTCATGTTTGTAAGCATGACACTTGTATTAGGGTGAACAGAGAGATTTATTTTTAAGGAACTGGCTCACACAATTGTGGGGACTGGCAAGTCCAAACTTTGAGAGGGTGGGCTGGCAGGGTGGAGACTCAGGGAAGAGCTGCAGTTGGAGTCCAAAGGCACTCTATTAGCAGAATTCCTTCTTGCTCAGGGGAAGTCGGTCCTTGGTCTATGAAGACCTTCAACTGATCAGATAAGGCCCACCCACATATTGGAAAGTAATCTGTTTTAACTCAAAGTCCACCAAGTTAAACGTCAATCTTATCCTAAAAAACGCCTTCATAGAGGGGCTGGCCCCGTGGCTGTGTGGTTAAGTTCGCGCGCTCCACTGCAGGCAACCCAGTGTTTTGTTGGTTCAAATCCTGGGCACAGACATGGCATTGCTCATCAAACCACGCTGAGGCAGCGTCCCACATGCCACAACTAGAAGGACCCACAACGAAGAATATACAACTATGTACCGGGGGGATTTGGGGAGAAAAAGGAAAAAAATAAAATCTTTAAAAAAAGAAAAAAAAAAAAAACGCCTTCATAGAAACATCCAGATAATGTTTAATCAAATATCTGGGCATCAAGGCCCAGTCAAGTTGAACCGTAAAATTAACCACCATAATATCTTAAATTTAAATACACAGAACTTTCTAAGAGAAATTGCTGGTATCAGTCAGCAGGCAGTGATGATATCTGGGGACTAGGAAATGGCCTTCCCCTGTTCACGGAACTCACAATACAAGACTACACACCAGTAGAGTGGATTTTGAACCCAACGACATTTCCTTCATTACCTTTGCTCTCTTCCGCAGCCTGGAATTTAGGAGAAAGCCTTTTCAAAAGTACACATTTTTCCTGATTCAATAGCAAAGATAATTGCCTCCAAAAAAAGTATACAGATCTATGCCACCACTGCTTTAATTACAGTCAGTTTTTGTTCTCTCTCCCCTGAAGACGAAGAGCAGCTAGGAGCAGGAAAGCCAACTTCTGCCTTGTTTACGGTTCTACCCCTTCTGGCCAGCACAGTTGCTGCCTAATAAATCATTGTTAAGTGAGTGAAAGTAAATCGTGAAAGCTGAACAGCTCCCTGGTGTTCCTTTGTTTGGCATGACTTTCCAAGACACTAGGCATCATTAGTGGTAGACTGAAGAATGCACTTACTCCAAAGCAGGTAGCAATGATCATTAGATTCATGGTCACTTTCCATTCACAGCATCACACGTCTTCCAGGTGAGTGAATAAACGGAGAGCCACTTCCACAGGCATCCTGTCATTACAGAAAACATTCTTGGAATTGTTTTGCTGATTAATCTGCAGAGAGAAAGCTGTTCTGCACCTTCGGAAAATTCCCAGTTCAGGCAGAAACTCATATCAAGGGCCTTTGCCAGAAAAGACTAAAATGCCCCAGAGATGGCCAGTGACTATTTGCCCGCTGGAAGGATGCATTCAGGGTTGAGGATCATCACAGGAAGGAGCCAGAGCTTCCTCTCCCAAGTTCACATCTGCGCTGTTCTTTTCATCTGCTTATTCCCCAGCAAATATCTTTAATTATGTGTCATGTACCAACAAATCAGGAAAAGGGCATCGCATCCCGTCGTAATCTCTGTGACCTTTGGGAAGTCGTACGTCTCTCATTGGTTAGCGGTCGAACATCTCATTGTATTTGGTATTCAGGTTCTTCTGGGAAGGCTTGCCCCCCTTCTCTCACCGGTGCGAGACTCCTGTTAGCATTCCTTCCACCTCCGGACGTGTGTGGGCGGCCACAGCCGCGGGGCGTCTGGGAAAGGGTTTCCACCAGGGGGCACTGGAAGGGAGCGAATGTGAGAAGCGCCACTTCTGAGAACAGCTTCCAAGGCCAGCTTTCAGCACAACAAATAAACGTCAGATGAAAAGCTGGTGGCCGCTGCTGTCTGGAAAGCAAAACTGATGGCGTTCCTTCCGCTTCTAATGTTTTGAGGTTTACATCAGCGTAACCCCGCGTTCATCCCCTGGCATTTCCGATGTCAGAGTTTCGTTCTGAATCAGTGCCTCAAGTGAAATTCATTCCTACTGAATTTGGTCATAATAACTGGCAGATGGCTGGTGATTTTTATTTGAAAACATGAATAACTGGCTCAGTTTCAGGAGCTGCCCTGAACCAAAGACCCGGTTAGTCGCTCAACCCACGCGTTCCAGGTCGTGGGGTTAAGACAGGAATTCTGGGGCCAGCGGCGTTTGCAGCTGAAGGGCGGGGAGAGTGGGACACCCTTGAAAACCTGTGGCTTTGGAAAAATGGCTCTGGGTGATTAGAGCTGAGCCTCTAAGTTCACCACAAGATATGCCTTATTTTTTTTTCCAGAAATTTACAGAAAGGCCAAACTGCCTCATTACTGTCATGAATTCCCACCATTAGATCTGTTTCTTAAGGGCTTTTTGGAAACAGACACATTTTAAAGGACTTACCCCATGTTATCTAGGAGGTGTGACACATAGCTAGCTTTTCTTTAGCATGGATTTTTACCTCTGAAGAGGCATCAGAAAAGGCTTTCCAGATGCCAAAGTAGGAACTCACACCAATAAGGGAAAAGAAAGAGAGAAAACAAGAAGGAAAGAGAGAAAGGCGCTGAGTTTTTCATAGAAATTTTTTCAATTTAGAAAGCTATCTTTCATTCTGAGTTTAGGCTCTTTATATATTTGAGGGGTTAAACTATCCTTGTTTTCTGTGTGTGCCTCCTTTTGATATTAACTGGACACTCATAACAGGAATGCTAAAAGAACACTCCTGTGTATGTTTCCTTTTGATATTAAAATGTACATTCTTCTAAGAAATGATAGTCACCAGAGATGTTATCTTTTTTAATGTATCGACAAAATAAGTTAACAACCCTATGTTAGATCCCAAACTGGTTTTTTGACCTTCTCCTTGTCTGTGAAACCTTAAAGTAAGAGGAATACCTACACTGGGGTATTCATTGGTTACTCACAGACAAGAGACACCTAGCTCACGGGACAGTAAACTAATAGCTTTCGGTAGAAGATAAGAATGGTGCTTGGCCTGAAGAGGCGCTGTGTGTGGGGAAGGGGTGAGGAGATTGGAAGCCTGGATGGGGCACGGGGCACCAGGGGAGATGGTGTTTCAGGGAGTAAAGGGTGCTGAAAGGCAGTCTCCCTAAAGACTGCTCAGTCTGTTCACAGCTTCAGCCAGAGCAAACCCCAAGACACCAAGCATTCCACAGGCAGTCTTTAAGATGGCCCCCCATGATGCCCTTGTCTACACTATGCAGGAATTTTGATTTCTTCCCAGTAACCAGCTGATGTGAGGTGGACTTTGCAGTTATCTTGCACACAATTCCTCTCGGCTCCAAGGCCTCAGAGCAGCGTTTCCTAGAAGATCGTTCTCTGTGAGCTCAGTTCGTGACAAGCTCACAGGGAGCACACCTAAGACATCTGGCCAGCTTGTGATGTAAAGAAGTGTGTGGCCACAAGACCCACTGTTACAGCTGGCACTGTGTCAGAAGCTGTGCTGCCTGACCCTCAGTGGGCAGAAGGTGGACAGACGATTCTGGCCAGGTGGGTTTCACCAAGGAGCAAGAGGGGAACCTGCAGGTTAGCACATGAGAAGGCATGGAAGCCTTATAGACGTAGTTCGAAATGGTTATCATTATTGCTACAGACTTCCGGCAGTTGCAGGGGGATGAAAGTGTACTAATTTGGAAACAAAAGACACATGTACTAGTGTCCACTCAGTTAACACTGAGCCTATTTTTAAGAAAGGAGACCAACTCCCGCCTGAGGCAAAATGGTGGTGATAGCGGCCAAGTTTGTTTCTGGCCCATGGCTCTCCCTGCTTTTGCCACTGAATTAGTTATCTATTGTTGGAAACAAATTATCTCCAAACTTATAGGCTTTAAACATTTATCATCTCACAGTTGGTGTGGGCCAGGAGTCCAGGCACAGCTTAGCCGTGTGCCTCTGGCTCAAGGTTGGGAAGTTCACGAAGCTTACGAACTTATAGTTAAGCGGAGTTGGACTGAGCTGGAGAATTCACTTCCGAGTTCTCTCACACAGCTGTCGGCTGGCCTTGGTGCTGGGTTCCCCCTGATGGGGATTCTCCATAGGCTGCCTGAGACCCCTCACAGCATGGCAGCCGGTTATCCAAGAGACAGCGAGCCCAGGAGCTCTAAGACAGAAGCTCCAGTTTTTTTACAACCTAATGTCTGAGGTAACACTCCATCCTCCTTACCAGAGTCTTGTCACAAGAAGTGAGTTACTAGGTCCAGCTCCTACTCAAGGAGAGGGATTGCACACGGGTGTGAATACCAAGAGGCGGACACCATGGGGGCCATCTTAGAGACTGCCTGTGCAGCTCCCCTCCTTATCTCCACATGCAGAATAATAATGGAAGGTAGAACTTAGTGGGGGTGGGTGTGGGAATCGAATACAATAAGGAATGAGAGGGCTTTGAAAACAGAGGCCCTAGAAAGGCAGTATGATCAAGGGGTCCTTCCTCACTCTCAGATCGAATTCTGGAGATGAGTCCAGAAACCTGCATTTTCACAGCGTCCCAGGCATGCTTCAGGTACACCAAGACTTAAGAACCGCTCATATAAATTATTATTAGTTTTCCTTCTACTTTATAAATTGGGATGAAAAGAAGGGCAGAGAAATTAAAGGAAAATGAGGTGGAGGGGAGGTAAGAGGTGAGCTTTTCAAACCTCCAGCTCTTCTTCCTGGGCCCCGTCCTCTAAATGACTCTCCTGGGCTGGGTCTGTTCTCAGGGCGACAGTGAGTTGGTAGAATGCTGGCAATACCAGTTACATTTCACCAACTGAACCTCACTGGGGCAGGGCCCTGATTCCTCACTCAGGCTCTCCCCATCCTTCAGAATGATTAATAGGTCAGCCTCCACAGTGATCTCCTCCTGCCCCACAGCAGCCTAGGAGGCCAGACTTCTACAACAGCTCTTCAAATGACAAATGTATTTGGCAAATGACTCTGGCCTGGCAAATACATACAAACATTTTTTGCTTAGCAGTAATACACCTTGAGGCCTCTCTCGACTTTCTCTTGTCAACAGTAAGCACTCACGGTTTTACCCACAAGAAAATGGTGCCACCTCGAGATACGGTTTATGGGAGAAATAAACAGGTGATTCTTACCATCAAGTCAAATGATTAGAAGCTGGAAGGGACAGTGAGAGGTTTGTCAAATCCACGCCTCTCCAGGCCAGACAGAATGATCCTCAAAGTATCTCCACCAATAGGTAGTCTCTTATTTAATCCCGTAGGCAATCTAATCCTTGTCTCAACTCTCACCACTATTTATTTTATATATAACGGAATCTTTCCTGTTATAATTTATAGCCTTTTCTCTAGTTCTGACCTCAGGAGAAATGAAGAACAGATGCTCACATAGCTTTTAATAAAAAAGTTCTTATTAAGTCACTACTCATCTTTGTCCTCCATTGTGGGAGGTGGGGACACAGGTTGCTGCTTCTTTGCTCTTTCTGCTTTGCTCTGCTTGGCCTGTATTTCTGATAACAGGTAGCCCCGTTTTTATCTACCAGTGGATCAAGACTGTACGTTACATTCAGGTCAGTACAACTGGAATAGCCTAGTTTATTTTTTACAGATTCTACCGACAAGCGTTAGGTCCTAAGATGTGATTCGGCTTAAAAAGATGACATTTAAAAAGTGCTATCAGCTTCTCCTATTGACAGTTAAAAGTCAGAGATGTAAAAACTTTCTTAGCTGGCCTTTGATTGCTTTTATCTGATATGACTGAGTTCGTTAGAGCTGGGTTCCGTAATCAACCAGAATTAAAATCAGATAGTGTTTTTCTTCTTTATTTTTTAATGACTTGCATGGTACGGCCTTTTGAGTGATAGAGCTAAATTATTAAGTACTTCCAAAAAATTGCACATGGGACTGACCAGTCTTCCAGAGCAACTCCAAAATTAAGTTCATGAAGGACCCGTCATTTTTATTTATTGTTTCTTTATGATATCTTGTTGGGAGGTGGGCAAAAAGAGAGTCCCATTTTACAGATGGGGACCTGATATAAAGAAGTTGCCCCCCCCCCCCCCCCCGCCAAGGCTGCAGCAAATCCAGAACTAGAACTTGGTCTCCTAGCCTTCAGCCCGGAGTTCTTTACACTAAATATTATTCTAAAAAACAAACACTTTCCAAACTGCATTTCTACTCACACATACAGCTTTAAGGACACCATTTTCGTTTTGTTTTCTTTTGCATTCTCAATGCTGACATTTACTAAAATTACATCATCACAATGGTTATTTAAATAACAAACAAAACCCTGTCACGATATCTGGGGAAATCATCCTCAAAATTTCACAGGCCCCACGCCTTAGAGGAAACTTCCTCTCGTGTTCAAGAATAAGTAACATGTCCCAAAGAAGCCCTGAGGAGAAATGACAAAGCCATCTTACTTACAGGTGGAAAGAATCATGGCTACACCTCTGCAGGGAGTGTACAAAACAGTCCTGAGTTCTTCAGCGGTGCACCCGTCACAAAAACACATCTTTCAACTGAAATCATAGCTCACCCAATGCGTTTCTCACGGGCAAAGTTAACCCCACCTATTTTCCTGTTCTGAAAACCTCAGAGAAGTGTGTGAATGACAACCCAATGGCCTATCTAAGAAAGTTCAATAATCTGCATCCAGATCTCTGAGGGTGGTTGCTGTTAGTTCCTCATTCCCAACTGTGTAGGTGACTCCAGCAAACAACATTTTCAAGAAATCACAAGATTTTGGTAAAAGGAACCTTAAAAGTCACTAATTCAAACGACCTCTCTGGACAGAGAAGGAAATGGTGGCACAGATAGGATAAGGGACAGAGTTAGTGGTAGAAACAGAATTAGATTCTAGGTTTTGGAGTACCAAGCCTAGAATGTTCTGTCTTCCCACTCTAATGACACTTCAGGGATCATTTGAGGAAACTTTATTTTTTGTTTGGGCGGGGGAGTCCATCCAATAACACACCTAAAAGGTGACTGGGGCGTGGCCAAGAAATATAAACACAACATCAACAATCAAAAATACACCTAGGAAAATATAACCAAAAATTCAAACTAAAAGGAACAACTCTAATGAAGACAGCATACTTGTGTTGCCCTTCCTATTTCCTGCCTTATAGATTAAGATCTCTTTGAGCATTCTGGGTGGATTCTTCTCATTTTACTTCACCTTTTGCCTTAGTTTTACATAAAAACTTTTTTTTAAGTTTCAGTGAAATATTTAAAGATTTTTGAAGAAAATGTTTCCCAATGTTGCCAAGTATTATCCATCTCGTTTTCCACATCAACAGTATACGGAACCCTTAGTGAAAGGACTATACTTTTTCCTCACTCTCTTCATTGCCATCTGGCACTTTGAATATAGCTCCTTAAGGTGAAAAGGGAAGGATGGGATGGGACAGGGAAGCAGGAGGAGTCAAGGTGAGGGAGGAAGGAAGGAGAAAAGGTGTAGCTCGAGTATGACCAATGCCTTGAACACACTATAATTCAGTTAAAAGGTTTGTACATTTTTGTGATGGGGGTACAGTTAAACAGGAAGATGAGGAGGAAGATGACAAACAGACTATGACCAGACTTAGGATAAGTATTTTATTTTTTCCAGTATAAGGAGGATAAGGAAGAATAAGAGACAGCCTTCAGTGGATGGATGGACCAGAGGGAAAGAGATGATTCTCCAGGGTCACACTGAAGGTGCTGCTCAGAGCAGCTAACAATGCTGTGTGTTCACACAACGCTCTCACGTACAGCGGACACCACAGCTGTCCCAGAGCAGATGAACTCCTGAAGAAAGGCCTCGTGTCTTTCTCTGATTTCTACCCCCAATACCAAGAGCAGTGTGTGGGGCGATACACGGCCTCTGTTATCGATGATGGAGACTGTTTCTGTTCCCTGGGCTCATGAGGAAAAAGGAAGGCTCTAACTCAGCTAATGTCTTAGTCAGAGACTGTAAGGGGTAGAAACCCACTCAAACAAACTTGATCGTGAGGTCTACTGTGAGGCTGTAATAGATAATCTTGCTGATCCAAGAACCCAAGTCCAACCAGGCCTCCTGAAAACCATCTGGGAGACAGCTCAATACACCATGCTCTCCCTATTTCCTGGTCTCTCTGCCAGAACTTGAGCTCGCTCATGAGTCTTGCCGTTGTAGTGAACGTCACCTGATCCTTCTGCTGCAGAGCCTGGCACCTCCACTTACAGCATCTACGTCCTGGAGCATATTCTTAAGACATGGAAAACGACTGATTGCCCCTTGTTCAATTTTCCACCTAACTCTAATTAGCTGTGGATACCATGTGGGCAGGATCACTTAGCCCAAACACAGGCCCTGTCGGGGCTTAAGCTGGACAGACACCCTCAAACAAGTCTACCCAAATGAGGAGGGGGCATTAGCGATAGAAGGGTCCAGCCTTTTCTCTCTTCAGTAAGGAATATTTGATCCCCAGGGGAAAAGGAGTTGACAGCTGTAAGGCACAGTCCCTAGTCGGAAGAAGGTTAGCTTCTATATTATAGAATTAAAAGTTTCGGGGGCTGGCGCCGTGGCCCAGTGGTTAAGTTTGCGCGCTCCGCTGCAGGCGGCCCAGTGTTTCGTTGGTTCGAATCCTGGGCGCGGACATGGCACTGCTCATGAAACCACACTGAGGCAGCATCCCACATGCCACAACTAGAAGGACCCACAACGAAGAATATACAACTATGTACCAGGGAGCTTTGGGGAGAAAAAGGAAAAAATAAAAAATCTTAAAAAAAAAAAAAAACTAAAAAAAAAAAAGTTTCAGTTAAAACACAATTCATGTTTCTTATAAAATATATAATTTTATATATTATATATATGTATAATATATACAGCATACAAATATTTTTAATGTAATACTAATGGCAGTCTTGAAAACAGATGTTTTCAAAACAGAAGATAGGTAGTTCTCCAAGGTGGATTCCTGATTCATCCAGAACCCACATTCTAGACAATACTCCAGGCCCAGAATTCTGTAGAAGTCAAAAGGAAGAGGGTGGTTGTTGGAACCTGGCCCTAATACCCTTCCCTTCCCAAATTCCCTGGCCTTCCACTGGCAACTAACATGGCCCTGTGTGCACCCTGAAAATGGGCAAACTCTGGGGCCTGGGCACAGTGCCTGGCACATAGTGGGTACTCAAGTACTTGTGTGAGTACTTTTAATAACCATCTCCAAGGCAACATTTCCATAATCCAGAAGATTCAGTCACAGAGCTAATGCTGGTCTAGAAGCAAACCCTTTAGGTGTTTCCTCTTTATAAGTAAAACAATCTACACGTCCAAGTGCTAAGTAAATTAAAAGTTAGCACCAAGTGCCATTTCTTCCTCGTGCTTTGGAATGTGGAAGCCACTGGTCACAACACCACTTATCTTCCAAAAGTTTCTTCACTCTCGACTAGTTCATCTATCGTGCGAAGCAAATCTTCAAAGGAAGGCCTTCCCTCTGGTTTCTACAATTCAAAATCAAAGAGAAGCGGTGGGTTCCAGAATCCATTCCAAACATGATTTCTCACTGCTCAAAGTCAGATAACAGCGCGTACTAGTGCAAGGTGCTCATTGCTTTCGGACGGGAAAATGCAGGCGTCTCAAATGGCTCAGACCTTTCCCGCAGGCACTGCTGCCAGACTAACCTTTCTGCCACACTGCTTTCGTGTCCCTGTTCGAGACCCTAACAGAGCTCCTGACCGCCTGCAACATCCAGTTCTGCTAATCTGCAGTGCCCTCTATGACCTGCCCCCGCCCCGCTACCCAATTTCATTTCCCACAAAACCCTCACATGGCCTCTCTGCTCAATCAAACCAATCTCCAGCCTCACGTACACACACCATGGTCATTACCACCTCCTTACCCTTGCTCACGCTATGCTCTCTCCCCCAGCACCACTTCCTGACCAGAAGGCTCTGCCCATCCCAATGACTGCTCTTGGGAAGCGTTATAGCAAGTGACCGAGAGTATGGGCTTTCGAGTCAGACAGGACTCTGCTTCTCTGTAGCTACATGGCCTTGGGCAAGTATCAACTTCATGAGCCTTGGTACTCTCCTCCAAAGAGGGATCATAGTAAAAGTATCCACACCTCAAAGGGTTATTTTGAGAACTAAATCTAAAGCGCTTAGTATAATGCCAGGCACACAATACACGTTAACTAACATTATTATAATCTTTCAAAAATCATCTTGGTGTCTAATTGCTTCTACGAAGTGACATCTTAATACATAGGGAAGGAAAACTTCCAAAGGCTGTGAGTAAAGAGACCTGAGGAAGTTGAGGTTTGGAGATAAAAACCCTCTTTGGGGAAAGAGTAACACTTCAATAACACAAGAGCTCCACTGAGAGAAGAGCTACTTCTCCGGGTTTATTCCCTGAGTCCCTAACTCAGGCAACTGTGGCAGGATTCCCACTTGGGAGTGGGGTGGCAGCCTGAATTTATTATCTTAATTATCAGCATTTTCCACTTCTTCACATTCTTCTTCCCATTATTCAGAACTGAGTAGAGAGGGTTGGCTCCCCACCTAGAGTTTGAAATCATATAAACCGTGCACCGACTCATTAGCCTATAAAGACTACACATTATTAATCTACCAAGCCCAGATTTCTAAGTGTTTTAGATGATTCAAAAAGAAAGCACAAAAAAATTTTATACCTCCTGCCAACATCTCAGCATCAACTCATACACATATTTGCATGCCAATTTCGGCCGGTAGAGTCGGTGGCCACGAGTAACCATGGTTACCACTTCATAGTTGGTGTTTTTCTCAAAGGGCATTCTGCCTTCAGTGAATACTTCCCACATTAACACACCTGGAAAAGGATAAGGATTAGCAAATGATGTATTCGCTTCCTCTTCAGAGCAGATTTGAGGAGAAATGGACCACGGGTCTTACCAAATGACCAGACATCTGATTTGCTGCTAAAGCGGCTGTAATTAAACACCTCAGGCGGACACCACTTCACAGGAAATTTAGCACCGGAAGAACTTGTGTATTGATCATCCAGAACGTACCTAGAGCAAGACACACCATAGGTTTACACCTCTGCGTTACAATCTGTATTTTGTACACGTTGTTTCTCTTTTTTTTCCCCTCAGAATCAAAAACACAGTTGACTGAAGTCCAACAAGCATCCGGTTGAAGGTACATGTTTGCCTCAGTGGCCACGCCTGGTGATTTCCCATCTTCCTCTCAGCCTCATTTAAGTGCTGGAGATGGATGCATTGTAACATTAGTATCTGCACTTTGATTTTTCTGATTGTTTTTCTCCTTTATAAGGCAACAGAGGCAGAATAGAATAAAATAGTTGGCAAACTTTTTTTGAAAGCAATTTGTTCTTTAAACAAAATCTTACCCGAAAGCCCCACAAATAAAACATCTAAAGCAGAGCTGCTCTAAAGGAAGTGGTGCAAACTGTTTGGAGACACATGTGCTTTTAGCTCCCACAATTCCTCAGAGCACAATTTTAAACTACAGAAAATGAAAAAAGCAAATTGCAAAATGACATACATAAATGGTAGAGTATAAATTTATATGCCATGACATCCCTCCCCCCCCCCACACACTCAAACCATATTATATAATTTTTCTATGGGAGCATACTTACTTCCTTCTAGAAGGACACACACAAACTGGTAACACTGGCTACCTCTGGGGAGGATCTTCAATGGGGCTGGTAAATATGGAGACTTCAGCCCTTTCTGTAATGTGTTCAGTGTGTATTTACAACAGGAATGTGTTTATGTATTATATGAACAAAAAAAGTTAATTTCTAAAAGCTGCATGAGAAAATATTCAAAGAACTGCACAAACTTCCTTTGCTGTATAGACAAAGATGGTGACAATACCACCATGGGCTGGGATCAACTTGTTTGTCAGTCAGGGGAGTCTGAATTTAGTGAATGATGAGTATTTTAGAGGGGTGGATGCAAAAGGACAGATTTTTCTGAAAGCCAAACGTGAAATGAGAGGACTGCCTGCCAGATACCAACATTTTCATATAAAGCAAATACGGAGCAGCGGGTAATTAATGTCCGCACAGTCAGCTTTCTGACAGTAACAGCTCTCTAACCTCCCTGGGCCTGAGTTTCCTTAGGACCTAAACTTAGCCTGTACGACCTGGTCCTCACCTTCCTTTATAACTGTTCCTCGCACTGGCCATGGGCCAGCCACCCTGGCCCTCTTTCCATTCCTTGAACAGGCCAAGCTTGTCCCCGATTTCAAGTTTTTATACATGCCGTTCTTTCTACTTGGAATATTTTATCCTCAGATTTTCACCTACCTGGCTACTTCCTGCCTTTTTCATCTCTGTTCAAATATCCCAGTCTCAAAGGTCCTTCCAGAGCATCAGGTTTAAAGTAGCCACCATCACGCCGCCCCACACCATCACTCAACTCCCCCACAACCCACCTCAAGCTATCTCTATCATAGGGGTGGGCAAACTTTGTTCGTAAAGGGCCAGATAATGAATATTTTAGATTTTCAGGCCAGACTGTCTCTGTCACAAGGACTCAACTCAGTCTTTGTCATGTGAAAACAGCCACAGACAACACATAAGTGAATGAGCAAGGCTATGTCCCAATAATACTTTAAGAATGAATGTCTGGATGAAGGAACAAACAGACAGAAGAAGGAAAAGAACAAACTTAATAGTTTTTAAAGGTCTAACACTCTACTAAAACTACAAAAATTAAGAGAATAAAAACACTACAGGGCACCCGCCAGGTGGCGCAGTGGTTAAGTTCACACGTTCCGCTTCGGCAGCCTGGGGTTCGCCAGTTCGGATCCTGGGTGCGGACATGGCACTGCTTGGCAAATGCCATGCTGTGGCAGGCATCCCACATATAAAGGCGAGGAAGATGGGCACAGATGTTAGCTCAGGGCCAGTCTTCCTCAGCAAAAAGAGGAGAATTGGCAGCAGATGTTAGCTCAGGGCTAATCTTCCTCAAAAACAAAAAGCAAAAAATAAACAAAAAAAACCACTATAGATTTGGGTATTCTAACAACTTTACCCCCAAACACATTGCTGTGAAAACAAAAGATTCTAGAAACCTAATCCACAGCAGGGGAAAAAAGAAAGCAGCGTATTTAACAGGCTATACTACCACCTAGTGGAGAGAATTATTAACAGTAATTAACACAATGCATACTTGGTTATTTTAACCAATTTATTTATCTCAGAACAGCTAACAACATTCCCTTTTTGCTTCATCAGTGCAGATTGTTCCCATGCTTATTAATTCTACAAACTAATGTGCATATCACCGAAAGCTATATAATAAAGCATTAAGCAATCATAATTTCTCAACAGTTTACCTGAGAAAAAGCCAAAACTAATGGTAAAAAGACAAACTCACAAAGAAATCTTTCAAAATATAAATAATCTAATTTCTTTATGACCTTTTACCAAAAACACTAAGAAGAAGAAAAATCAATTTGTTCCCCTATAAAAATGATGGGTACTACAAATATTTGCTAAAGGAACAAAAGATGTTTCAAAACAGCTCTTAAATAGGCTTCAGAGGAAGAAGTTGACAAACTGCAAAGAAAAAGTCAGGCTTTCTCTACTGTCCATGTAAAGGTCACGGTCTTACATTAATTTAATCCAAAATTTATAGAAAATGTTCACATATACTCAGCCTTACCTGGCCATTCCAAAATCAGATACTTTCACAATTCCTGCCTCATTTACGAGACAATTTCTGGCAGCCTGGAAAACATTATAATGGCATATTAGTTACAAAGTTCCACAATAAAAATAGAAAAATCTAAGTTCCTTTTATATTAAATTTAGTGTAACCCAGTCAACACTTGCAGAGGTGTCTCTACAAATTTTTTTTACACCCTATGGAAATGTCTTCAACATATTATTTGAAAGAACAGAGAGAAAGATAGGTGGAAAGTCATATGTGCCATAAGACATTGTTACATAATCTTCACCAACTGCCATAGCTAAATGAGGACTTACAGAAGGGGCAATCAGCTTTTTTCCCTCCCATTTCTATTCTTATTAAACTATCTGATTTTCTTATTGATAGTGACAACATCTCTTGAAGTCCTTAATCCAGGTACTTAGTAGTGAGCTTAGCAACAACCAGCAAAGTGACGGGTGAACAATCTTTTACCCAGTGGCTTTGCTCAGTGATTGTTCGTCCCGATCCCAAGCAGTGACGGCAGCAGCCATGGTAACATAGTCTGCTTTGTCGTTTATCATGTTTCCAGTATATTATAACACGATATACTAAATTGCTCAAATACGATTCTGGATTATTTCATTTACATTTTCTTTCCCATTCCTTAAGGTTACAAGGTTCAAGAAAACAGTTTGGTAAAAAGACATAGTATTTCTCAGAAAGCTGACATGATAATAATCTTTTTAACACCATAACCCATGGACTAAGAAGTATTTTTCTTCCTGACATTTCAGAATTTTATTTTCTGTATGCGGCAATTCCACTGACAGGATGTTATTTCCTACTGAATGCATTTTAAGAGTCTCTTCTAAAATGACAGTTAATATCCATTCCCTGAAATGCCTCCATCTTTCTATGAAGATACCCTACAATGCTTTCACTTGATGGTCACCAGAATTCTTTGCCCAGGACACAGGAGCATCAGAATCTTCCCTTAAGGGGTGACACAAACCTACCAAAATAATGTCAACATCATGGGCACAAACATATCAAAATTGCTTTCACCAAGATATGGTCTGTATGGACAGGGGTAGTCTCCCATATTGATGTAGATATTCCATTTTCATCAGTTTTAAAAGTACAAAAAGAGGAAGGTGCTTAGTTCACAAGTTTCAACACGACAAAGAGATGTTCTTTGTTATCACCGAGCATAACAACAATAACTGAAGTTATACATAACACATCTTCTATTTTACAAAGTCCTTTGCCCCAATCATATAATGCGAACTTTAAAACGGTCTTATGAAAAAAAAGCCCAGGACCACGTGGCTTCACTGGTGAATTCTACCAAACATTTAAAGAATTAACACCAAACCTGAGATCTCAAACTCTTCCTAAAAATAAAAGGAGGGAACACACTCAATCTCATTTTATTAGGTCAAAATTACTCTGACACCAAAGCCAGACAAGCACACTAACAAGAAAAGAAAATTATAGGCCAATATTCCTGAGGAACATAGATGCAAAAATCCTCAACAAAATATTAGCAAACAGAATTCAACAGCATATTAAAAGGATCAGGGGCTGGCCCCATGGCCAAGCAGTTAAGCTCCTTTGCCCCGCTTTGGCAGCCCAGGGTTTCACTGGTTTGGATCCTGGGTGCAGACATGGCACCACTCATCAAGCCATGCTGAGGCAGTGTCCCACACAGTATAACCAGAGGCACTCACAACTAGAATATATAACAATGTACTGGGGGGCTTTGGGGAGAAGAAGAAGAAGAAGAAGAAGGGGTAAAAAAAGAAGATTGGGAACAGATTTTAGCTCAGGTGCCAGTCTTTAAAAAAAAAAGATCATACACCATGATCCAGTCAGATTTATTCCCAGGATGCAAGGATGGTTAAACATATGCAAATCAATCAATGTGATACATCACTTTAACACAATGAAGGATAAAAATCATAAGATCATCTCAAAAGATGCAGAGAAAGCATTTGACAAAATTCAACATCCTTTCATGATTAAATACTCTCAATAAGTTAGGTACAGAAGGAATGTACCTCAACATGATAACAGTCATGTAGGACAAGCCCACAGCCAACATCATACTCAATGATGAAAAGCTAAAAGCTTTTACTCTAAGATCATGATAAGAAAGTTAAAATGAAAATATGGAAGAGTCCCAGGTGAGAATCACATTCTTTTTGGTGAAAGAAACATCTTCGAGGTTTAACAGGGACTGATGGTTCTGCAAAAGCTGAAAGTAGACACATTTGGAAAGAACAGGCAGAGAAGAAAATGAGAAAGAAAAGAAGAATGGAGAGAGGGAGAAAAATAGAGTAAAAGAGAGGGAAAATTAAGAAGTGTCTCCATCATAATAATTTAGAACCAATAATAAAAGATTACTTTTTTCTATTTTCAGGAGTTAACAGGGGCCTCCATCTTTTCCCAGTGATTTGAGAGTAAAGAAAATGACCCAAAGGATTTCTGTTCTAGTTTCCGCTTACAGTGTATAAGGTAGAAAAGAGATTAGGATTTAGTCAAAGGATGAATCAACCCTTAACTTTCCCGTTTATCACCAAATGCAAGTCATTTCACTTCTCTGGAGCTAATGTTCTTATCTGTAAAACAATGATGGTCAGAAAAATCTGTTATGACTAGCTATCTCATGGGATTCTTATGGAGATCACACTTAATCTTAGCCAAAAGGCCGAGAAGCAATCTCTTATGGAGATCAAATAATTAATGCACGAAAACTTACTTGGAAATATCACCTATGTAATTATGTATTATTTATGCAGTTGCCTATATAATTATGTATTGATTGTATGCATAAAGATCTTTCTGTTAAAATTATGGGGCAAGTTAATCTTACCAAGTTTGAAAGTAATGGTGAAATATAGTTGAGAACAAAAATTGAGTATGAATATATCATTGCTCATTTGCTGACCCAATGTTACAAAGGAATTCAGCCAATGAATGGGAATATGCGTAGTTTATCATTACCAGATCTCTGTGGATGAAGCTGTTTCTCTCCAGGTATTCCATCCCTTCACACACATCTTGACACATGCTCAGCAGCACATCTCTACTAAAATGACCTTGTCTCTGTCGGAGGAAATTCAGAAGACAGCCCCTTTCCATGAACTCAGTAACAATGTAAATTGGTTTCTGCTGGGTGCATACACCATAAAGCTGCACTAATTTCGGGTGTGTCAGTTTCCTGGGAGGGAAGTCAAGCATACACATAGTCACTAAAGGAAAAGAAACCACGGCAGGTATTAGCTGGGGAGGGGCCACTTTTTAATACAAAAAGAGGAACCAGAAAGAACACAGTAACTTACATCATCACTTTAGCTTCTTCTATAAAGTCCTCCTCACACATGGCGCCTTCCCTAATGGCTTTGATTGCTACTTTGTACTGAGCTCGCCACTTGCCAAGCCTCACCACTCCGAACAGTCCGCTCCCCAATTCCCTCATAAAGGTCAGCTCTGAAGGGTTAATCTCCCATTTTTCTGCAAGACAGAGGGGGAGAGTGATAAAATTTAATCAGGCAAACGCAGCATGAACCAGTGGGAAACAAAGAAACTATAACCAAGGTCAATCTCAAAGTTACAGTTTCCGCTAAGACACAGAGCAGACTTGCACCCTGCATCTAACCTGAAAAATGCAGCTTCCCACCCTCTGGGAAGGATGCACTCCTTCTAAGCTGTCACAGTACAAGCAAAGTGAACTGAAGAAGGCAAGATGCTGCCTAATAGGCTAATAATAGTATAGCTTGAAAGTTAAAGGTATTTTAAAAAAAATTCCTCCTTTACCACTCTTGGCCCTTGGGGTTTTGTTGGATTTTTTCAACTCCATCCACTTGGAAGGAATTTAACCTACTATTTAAAAGGCTTTTGCCGGAAGCAACAAAGACAATCAATTGGATGCCTTCTTGGTTACTCCATCCTTGTTTTCCTGGGAGTAACCAACAAAGCCGGTGAGAACCAGGAACGGCTTTGATTTATTTTAGATGTAATGTGGTAGTGCTTATTTTTCACTGACGGACAGATTTCTGCTGAATTATGAATAATGACGAGAACAGAAAAACCATGGGTTACTACAGCTGTAAGTATAATTATTTAAAAACCCATACTACAGTTATAAAAACAATTCCACTATGTGCAATTCTACACATCCAAATTGGTCTTGTGATAATGGATTCTTTTCAAGGAAAACTAGCCAATGTAACTACAAAATGAGTTACCGTAGCTGAATCCTGCAGTGGTTGGTGCATTCTTCTCCTTCGCACTAACTGGGTACCGCAGCCTTGTCACAAGTCCTAGAAATCAAAGTATTGCAGTCAAATTCATCCTTAATCACTCTGAATGGTGAAGCGCTAAACTAGAAACTCACTTATAAAATTCACTCATTTATTCACTTCACGCTCATCCTCTGTGTGGACATGCAGGACAGTGCTATATGCTTGCAAAAATAAAAAGAGAGGAAGGCAGGAAGGAAGAAGATGCCCCCACTCTGAGTTGACAATTTCATATTTTTATGAAACATGAAAAATTAAAATATATAAAAGCTTTTATTCATTCTACATTTTCTCTTAAATACTACAGTGTTTATCAGGCATCATGCTGGCATTTTCTCTTCTCAAACATTTTAAAGGATGTTATAAGGTTTCTAACAGTTACTATCAATCATTATTTCACATTCTTTTCCAATGAGAAAAGTATGAAAGGGAATTACAGGAGTCTACTAAAAATTAAAATGATTCACCAGACACAACTCAGGTTTGTTATGAGTTATAACTCATAGCAATGTTAGTATAAAAATCGGGCTTTAAAATATCAACAACTGGGAATACCAACTATTGGAAATCAGTGAGGTATGCTAAATCTTTTAATCTAAGTTGCTTACAGTACTAAATAGAAAGAAATGGCTGGTATTTCCTCTATAAACACCCACAGCACTCTGTACTTCTTCTATCTCATAGTAACTTAATATTGTTATATTTCTCTGTCTTTCCCGCCAAATGGTAAGATCTGAGAGAGACAAGATCACTGACTGTCTAGTCTACCACAGTCTCCCTAGAACCTGGCACAGTTCCTGGCACGCAGTAGGCACTTAGCACATGTTTGTTAAATGAATGAATTGAAATAATGGTGAAGAAGAAAATTTATACAAGAACATCAAAGAAAGAAACAGGGGAATGTGAACAGTGAAAAAGAAGATAGACTAAGAGATAAGTAAAAGTTCTTTGGGGGTAAATCAATACGAAATTAGTTCCTCCAATGTTAAACAGAGAGTTACCAGATGACCCAGGAAAACCATTCCCAGGTTAGTAACAAGGAAAAATGAAACATGTTTCCATGCAAAAACTCGTACACAAATACTCATAGCAGCATTATTCATAATAGCCAGAATGTGGAAACAACCCAAATGTCCATCAACTGATGAATGATAACTAAATGGATAAACAAATCCAGACAGTGGATTATTATTCATCAATAAAAAGGAATGGAGTACTTATACATGCTACAACGTGGACGGATGTCAAAAACATTATGCTAAGTTAAAGGATTTAGTCACAACAGACCACATATTGTATGATTCCTTTTATATGAACTGTCCAAGAATAGGCAAATCTGTAGAGACAGAAAGTAGATTAGTGGTTGCCTAGGGCTGGGCTGGCAAAGGGGGTATGTGTGGCATGACTGCTAATGGGTACGAGATTTTTTCTGAGATGATGAAAATGTTCTTAGATTATGGTAACAGTTGGCACAACTCTAAATATACTAATAACCACTGAATTGTACGCTTTAAATGGGTGAACTTTATGGTATGAAAATTATATGTAACTGTTCCTATCATTATCTGAGAACAGTGAACAGAGTCACAAATAACAACAGACTTTGCAAAACCTTTGATAAAACTTGAAAAATTAATTGTCATTAATTGGGTTAGACACAGCTATCTTCTGCTCAGTGACATCTTTAAGTAAAAAGCTAGAAATCTTTCTGTCTCACCCTGTGGAGTCTCAGTGGGCATAAATGTGGTTTCTGTTTTTGTTTTTGGTGTTTGGTTTGTTCCCCCTCTGCTGGTAAGTGTAGCAGAGACTCAGGAAGACGGAAAATTTGTCTAGGACATCATTATGCTAGTCTTTGCAAGTCTACAGGCCTAAACCCTGAGCTCATCTGACAGCTTCTGTGATAACTCTGACATTGACAAACATCTTGGCTTTTAATTTAGTATTGTTAAGGGAAAAAAATATGCAATGACACTTTTAAAGATGGCATGGCAGACTATTTATTTAGGCCCATTGTGGTAGGTTTAGGGACCACTGTGATAGGATTCTAGAGTAGGGAAGAGAGATTGGGCTCAACTCCGCAGACAGCGTGGGCAAGTGGGAATTTACAGCCAAAGAGCAGGATGGGGGTCAGTGGAAGGAAAACTACGAAGGAAACATTAGGGATAATGTAGAGGTGGGTTCTAGCTAAACCAATCTAACAGGATTCTTGCTGAAGATAATTCAGGGTGACCAGACATCAGCTGGGGGATGGTGGAGGATGAGCAAGTTGATCAGATATGGAGGGTGATCAGGTATCAGATTCTGAGGGTAGCAGGTTCTGGTTAAACTGATAGCAGGGTTCTTGCTAAAACTGGATTTTACAAGAAAGTATACAGATGGGTCTAGGAGATAGTTCAGGAGCCTGACTAAAGTTTGGTCAAGCAAAGAATCTTTGTCAATGCCAAAGATATAAACCACAGAAATGTCAACATTTACTACATATGATAAGAAGAACTCACGTCCCAAGGTCAAGACAGAGTTTTTTATGAAATTTGGTATTACTTCTGATTTTTTGTGTATACATCACTTCCTTAACGTACAATAATTTTAAATCAATCACATTCTATAATTACCTTCAAAATAAAACTGCTCAAGGAAGAATTTATTACAATGTCTGATGATTTTAATCACTGCCTTATATTTGAAACAGGTTTCAACAGCTCACTTACCTGCCGCATTGTGCTTATGATATTCAATAATCTCAGGAATTGAACCAAATGCATGTTTTTCTGCCAGATAATATTTCTTTGGGGATGTTGTTGTTTCTTTTATATGATAATGCCTGAAACCTGATGAGCCTTCTCTAAAACAAAAATCGAAATGTGTTAGAACCAAGTTGGAACAATGTAACTTTACTCTTAAGATATTTTCTACCAGCTAACCACAGGGTCCCTACATATGGCCCCTTCGATTATCTGCACAAATTTCATTTTTCCCCCAAGTTCTTCTTAGCTTCGCCTTTCACATTAACAGGTGGAGTTTTTAAAGTGGCCGCTGATAACATACTTGGTCCCTTGCAGGAGATAACGAGAGAGAACATTTACAACTCCATTTACCAACAGTTAAGTCTAAAAATAGCTATGAGCTGCCTACTGCTTTGTGCCCCTGCTGTTGGTGTTAACCTGCAAATGTCTAGAGGACTCACATCTCTAAAATAAATGAAGAAACTAGACTTATGAAAAATGTACAAATTATATTTTAGCTATCTTTCTACAATACAGATCTTTTCAAATCATCTCTTGCTAAAAATCCTTTCACGAGCACTCCCGCAGCTCTTAAAATAAAGCTCAGACTCCTTGGCACTGACATAACCTGACCTCCACTTTCATCTCACAGGCCTCTCTCTCCTCCCTTCACCTCCCATTCTAAAATCCAGCTACAATACACTTTTGTCAGTTGCTCAAAATCACCACATCCTCCCTCATTTCTGAGTCCAGGCAGTTTCCTGCATCAGAAACACTCTTTCTCCTCCATACAACTTCCGCCAGTCTCACCTGTCAGATCTCAGCTTAGATGTCACTAGACAACATTAACGAGTAACCCAGATGTGTCTGGGCTGCGTACCCCGCCTCTCCCACACACACTGCCCTCCGAGCATAGCACTTATTCATATACCACCCTAACTGCCCGTCTGCTTGTCTGAAGCCGTCCCTAAGCTATCGGAGGGCAGGGTCTGTGTCTACTCTGCTCTCTGTGGTATGTTTAGGGCTTAGCGCACTGAGCAGTAATGATCTGTTGAATGTAGCTAAAGCTTCTATAGCCATTCTCAACAAAGATATATATATGGAGAACTATGAGAAAAATCACTGAAATGTAAATATGAAAAATATTATAAGAATAACTAGCAGAACTTCCAACTAAAATATACAACTACGTACTGGGGCTTTGGGGAGAAAAAAAAGGAAGACTGGCAACAAATGTTAGCTCAGGGCCACTCTTCCTCACCAAAAAGCATACCTTAAAAAAAACGTATTGACTTTAGAAATCAAGTTCAGGGTTTCTTTTCTAATGCTGAAATGCAGCACATTTTTTGAAAATTAGGAATCCATACAAACTATACAGGAACTTTATTTAAAAAATTTAAATAAATTGGAGAAAAAAGAGAGAGTGGGATTACTTACCCTCCAAACTTTGTATACAGGGAGACTGTGTACATGCCCGGTTGACTGGAATCCCGTACCATAAAACCACCTTCTTTATCCTAAAATCCAAATTAAGAACATTTTTTCAGTCCGATAACAAATATCAATGCCATGGAAATGATTCAAGAACGCAGTCTTACAATTTTACGATTATTATGCTTTGCCTAGAGAAGGCTTTGGAGAAGCACAACTTAGCAACGGGGTGCATCCACATGACTTTCCACTTCATGTTACTGGGCAGTGAGATGAGTTAAAGAAAATACACTCACACTGCCTCACAATCACAAATCTTCACACACACCAGCAGGAGACATTTCAACAAAATAATCTCTCAGGGCCCTTCCGGAACGAACGAACAAGATTTTGCAATTCCTTTAAGTGCGGGACACATGGGGAAACAGTTACTGAAAAACTATTTCTTAATGACTGGGTTTCATTTTATACATTTCTCATATTTGCTATAAGCTTTAAATCCTGACTCAATATCATCTTCTATCCACACAGCACTTTTCCTGTAAATATCTCAGTGCTCTTTATAAGAATCCTTTTGAAAAAAAAATCCTTAATTCCCCTGGAAATTGATGTTAAATATCATCTTTTACAGAAGGAGAGACTGAGGCACAAGTAACTTCAGCAGAGAAAGCCAAAAGGCAGAAACAACGCTGAATGACTAAGGGATAAATCCTTATTAGTTTCCAAAACAGAGAGCAAGAAACAGAAGCTAGAGACCACATCTCCACCAGTAACACCACAATCAGCCTCCAGCACTGAAACTGCTGTAAGACGAAAGTGTTTTTCACAGTTGAAAAATAAAATAAATTTTATTCTTATTCATAGGAAAGACAATGGAATTAAATACAGCCCCCCAAATAAATCTGATAAGAACAGTTAGGGACAATATTATAATAGTTAATCAATCAGTAAAAAGTGTAATAGCTATGTTTATTGAGAACTTATTCTGTTTTAATATCTTCTAATACGTGGTTTACTTAATCCTCAAAACGGTGTTATCCCCACTTTACTTCACAGGTAAGGAAATGGGGCACAGAATGGTTGAATAACTTGCCCTAGGTCACAGAGCTAGTAAGGAGCAGAGCCAGAATTTGGACCCCAGGCCTTCTGGCCACCCACTCCCCAAGAGCTGCCTCTCACTCTGGGGTCACCAAGGAGGCATTTGAGAATCCTGTGGCGGAAGAGGCATGGTTACCTATTACTTGAATCACACAAAGTCACCTGCTAGTCTCCTAAACCACAGAAACAAGTGCCCAAGGAAACCTTGACCGGGGTTAATAAGCAGGAGATAAAGTGAGAAAGCAAGGGTTTCAAAGATTGGGAGCGATTACTAAATCGAATAACTAGGTCAAAAATGCAGAGAATTGTAGCAATTATCTTCTGATCCAACCTCTTTATCTTACAGATGCGAAAAACACACTAGAAAAGTCACAGCTGGACTTGGGTCTCCTTACTCAGTCCACTGTAGTTTCCTCTGTACAGTCATGCACCGCTTAACGACGGGGCTACGTCTGAGAGATGCAGCCTTGGGCGATTTTGTTGTGCGAACATCACAGCGATAGCGTATACTCACACAAACCTTGACGGTACAGCCTACTACACACCTAGATTATATGGTACTAATCTTATGGGACCACCATCATATACGTGGTCTGTCGTTGACCAAAATGTCATTATACAGCACACAACAGGACTACATTTTATCCTGTTATTTCTTTCTAAAGTGTAAGAATTTTAGCACATTTATTTCTAAGGCAACTGAATATTTTATTAAAACTTCATTTATAAAAGATGTCACATATTGGGGGCTGGCCCTATGGCTGAGTGGTTAAAGTTCTGTGTGTTCTGCTTTGGTGGCCCATGTTCATGGGTTCAGATCCTGGGCAGGGACCTACTCCACTCATCAGCCATGCTGTGGAGGCATCCCACATACAAAATAGAGGGAGACTGGCAAAGATGTTAGCTCAGGGCTAATCTTACTCAAGCAAAAAAATAATAAAAAGAGGAAGGTTGGCAACAGATATTAGCTCAGGGCAAATCTTCCTCACTGAAAAAAAAAGATATCACATATTGATATACATTACTTTAAAACAAATAACTTCAAGCAAAAAGGAAAAACACATTTAAGTACTAAGAAGGTAACAAATGATAAATCCGTAAGAAAAAGAGTAAAGAAACTGTTACCCATGTATAGCTATTACCTATTGTTCTGGGTCTAATTCTTCCCCTCAAAAAAAATATGCTGGAGTCCCAACCCCCAGTGCTTCCAAGGTGACCTTCATTGGAGATTTACAGAAGGAACCAAGTTATAATGTGGTAACTAAGGCAGGCCCTAACCCAATATGAATGGAGTCCTTAAAAATAGGAAATTTGGACACAGAGACAGACATGCACAGAGGGAAGAAACCCAGGGAGAAATGGAGGGAGGCTGGGAAGAGATCCTTCTCTACAGCCCTCAGAAGGAGCAAGCCTGCTGGCATCTTGATTGCAGACTTCTGACCTCTAGAACCATAAAACAATACATTTCTGCTGTTTAAGCCACTCAGTTTGTGGTCCTTTGTTACAGCAGCCCCAAGAAACTAATACACCAGCGTTCACTTTTAAATGACTTAAAAAAACCCAAAACCCGTACTTACATCATAGTATTTTTTAGGTTTTAGAAACAAAGGTACATGGAATTACTTATTAGGGATTCATTACAATTAATTGGTGCTGAAACCAAATCCATGAAACAAGTGCAAACACTTACTTCACTTCTGAGGAGTTGCTCTGCTTTGCTTCTGTTCATATTTCTGCAATACCATCTGAACAGAAAAAGATACTTTTAAGGCAGTTTTAAAAATTATTTTTTATTCTTTTTAAGAAAGTAATACTGGGGCCAGCCCCGTGGCATGGAGGTTAAGTTCAGCGTGCTCCACTTCAGCGCCCCAGGTTCACGGGTTCAGATCCCAGGTGTGGACCTACATCACGCGTCAGCCATGCTGTGGCAGCAACCCACATATAAAGTAGAGGAATACTGGCACAGATGTTGGCTCAGGGCTAATCTTCCTCAAGCAAAACAAGAGGAAGATTGGCAACAGATGTTAGCTCAGGGCAAATCTTCCTCAGCACACAAAAAAAGAGGGGGTAATATTGCTATCAGTAACAAATACAATAAATATCACTCATAATTTCAATAATCAATAAGAGATCACTGATAATCTCAATAATATAGACAACCACTGGTAACATGTGGGTGTACATACTTTCATACTTTTTCTACTGATATTTTTATGAAAACATATATATATGAATTCTTATTTTTTATTAAAGTGGAATAAAACTATACTTGCTATATCATAACCTGAATTTTTCATATAACAGTATATGATAGACATCTTTGCAAAGCAATATAGGCCTATGCATGATGGTATGGATGTGCCATAATTTACTCAAGTGATTCTTCATTATTCAACATAAAGCTCATTTCTAGTTTTTCACTGTTATAATAACAGCAAGAATGAATTTTACTCCACAGACTCAAACATGCAGGAAATGTCACTTTATATTATTGTCTTAATTAAAATTAAATCTTATCCCAAGCCCCCATCTGACCAATAGGCAGTAGATTCCATCTCAAGTCATTACAGAGGCTCCCACATTGAATTTCACGAAGGTCCCAAGAGTCAAAAGAAACAGCAAAACAGAAGAGCAGGCCCCTGGGTCTTCCAGACTTACCAGTTCTAGCGCAGCCCCAAGCCCTGGTGGTCACCGAGGCTCTACTATAGGAATCCCATCGTGGCCAGGCAGCAGTGCCCACCTCCCCATCAGGTCCCACCACCACTCTGTGCCACATCCCCAGCCCCTGCAGATCTGTGCCCCTTCTTTCCCAAGGAAAGATGGATCCTGCCATCTCCCGCCTCATCCTCAGAGGTAGTCCCCTCTCCCTGCTTCCCCTAGCCCAGTCTCTCGAGAGATTATAAACCTGTTCAGCCTGTTTTCTTGGCCATCAGTTTTAACCTTGGGTGTTTTTTTTTGGTTTTTGTTTGTTTGTTTTAGATGCCCTTTAGTGGGTAGAGAGTCCTCCACCACAGTCATCTTTCCTGAGGCTTCCAATAGTATGAAACTAGCTTCGCCCGTCTGGACATCTGAATTTTCCACCCCTAGCTCAGCCTCTTATAAAAAAAACCATCACCTGCTTTTGGCCCAGCAAACACCCTGAGACAGACGAACACAAAGGCCTTCTCTGACTGAGGAAGGGAAAAATACAAAGAACAAACTACAATGTAAGATCTTTTTTTGTCTGGATTCTTCCATGCAGTTGTAGTGGCCAAACACCAATTACAATCTCAATACAAGCTGATGAGTGTTATTTTATTTGTGGCCTGAGGTGATTAACCAGGCCTCAGAATTACGGGTACTAAGGTCTCATTGCTGTGGACCTCACTTCCTGAACTGAGACCAAGTCCAACAAAATTGCAGTTCTGATCTGAATCCAATTGAGAAATACAATAAACAAGAAGAACAGAATGGATTCTGTCTCAAAAGGGTTTCCAGTGATACAAGAAACATTTGGCAGGATGCCAAAAACAGTTATAAAAATTAATTAAGGAAAGGTAACTGGAGTTCTCATTATGCATTATAAACCAGCAGGATCTGAAAGATTAAAAAAATTCTCTTTGGGGCCAGCCTAGCGGCACAGTGGTTAAGTCTGCACATTCCTTCAGTGGCCTAGGGTTCACGGGTTCAGATCCCAGGCGCGGACCTACACACCGCTCATCCAGCCATGCTGTGGTGGCATCCCACATACAAAAAAATAGAGGAAGACTGGCAACAGATGTTAGCTCAGGGCCAATCTTCCTCACACACACACAAAAATTCTCTTTATTAATAACAGAAGATCCAACCCCACATCTTCACAGTAAGAGTAAGCAACAGAGGTTTAGTCTCACGTTCAGATGCAAGAAATCAGTAGAGCTAAACTGTAGCTCTCAAGAGGAAATTAGGTATGAGATACTCAGAGAAAGAAAGAGGTCTTTTAGTCACCTGGTATACACAAGCTCCCTTGGAAGGGATAAAGGAAATAAGGAAAGAAAAGGAATCCACTGCACAAAGGGCAGGCTCTTCAAAATCCTGTTCCCAGGGGTCATTTTTATGGCATTTGCAGATTCTCCAGACAGAATGTTTTCCCTCCTTAGTATATAAACTCAGACCTTTCAGAGTATGTTGAAGGAGGAAAGGAGGAAGGAGTGATGAACAAATAAACCGATGAATCAACTCGTGGTGAGTATTTCCTAACAGTTCTTTGTGGCTTCTGTCCCTCTTCTATGATGCCCAGCACCAGGCGAGAAGGGAAAGACAGTAGTGGCTCTGCTGAGTTCATCCCGTCAGGAAGGACCACACACATGGGTAAAATGTGAAGGAGCCCACGTGGTGGGCAGGGGAGCACCGCCACACAGATGCCAGCCCACGGACATCTCTCACAGCCCGTCACAGAAATGTTCTGTTAGAGGCTGGTTAGCTCCTCTGGATGAAGGAACTACCTATCTAGGAAGAATGCCCAGGATGTGTGAGTAACTTGTCATTCCATTCTTAGATATCAAAACTCTAATGTGAATGAGGTTTTCAGATTGGCTAGTCACTTCAAAACACTCCAGAGGAATAGGACTTCACAGTGGTGTCTGAACAGAGGGTAAAAAAGATTTGGGGACACACAGTCCTGTCTGGAAAGGTTGGATCCTGGCCAAGTTTCCTGGGGAGTGTGGGTTGGACAAATCATAAAAAGAAGACAAGGGGTAAAAATGAAGGAAAAATAGAAACCAACCAACCAAGCAACCAGCTATAAGTCTTTTCAATTCTCTAATTTGGCCCTCGCCTCCTATGCCACCCACTCAAAGCCTTATGCTAGACTTTTTCTGCTCTAAACACCCTTTCATTTCTGTCACCTTCTTCCTTTAACATCTTTCCAGCAAGAACATCTTATTGACCATCACAATGAACCCTTTTCTTTCCTGCAGCACTTCCTCTGATCCTCTCCTCCCCAAACTGTTACGTGGGTGCGGAGGTCAGAACTAGGTTACTGATAGCCCCCGGAGCTGCGGGCCTGGCAACCCTGTGTCCAGCCCAGTGCGCCGTCTGTTGCCTGGGACGACTCCTAGGCCCAAACAAACAGAAGAGCTCTTGATTCAACAAAAGGCTTTTTAACTCTTGGGATACTTAAGATGTGTCACAGGATGAGCTGTAGCAAACAACAGCACACACCACGGAGTGGGAAGACAGCAGGAGACGAGGGGCACTCTGACTGTCCACCCTGAGAACAGGTTTCCCCTTTCTCACCTAGCACAATGCCATCGGGAATCCCTGACCGCTGGGCAGATGGCTGAGGAGACTCCCGGACCGGAGACTGTACACAGCAGGTGAATTCACTTAGTCACGCAGAGGAGGAGAAAAAATTTCACCTATCCAAAAAACTCATGGCAATGAATCATAAACTTCTTAAGATTCTTATCTGTAATCCCATGAGTCGTAAGGGGAGTTCTCACATTCAGATAAGGATTATCTGGTTTCCAAGCACATCCCTCCCCAAATTATCAGCTAGTTCTCAGATCACTTTAAAATCAGGTCCAACTTTTCACCTTTTAGTATCTTCCCTAATTCTAAGGATTTTGCTATATTTTCCTAAAATTTATTTAAGAACAGAAATACTATTTTATTTACATATTTTTTATACCATCACCTACTTCTAAAACAACTTTGAGGGATCACACCACTGAGTGCTGTGACTTTTGAACCTATTAATCCTTTTCTAGATTTGAAGGTATACTCACATTACAGGGACTGACATGGACAGTTTTTTGGTGTTTTTTTTGGCTAGTGGTGGTGGTGGTCTTTTGAAAGAAGTGAATGAAGTATCAACACACCACCTCCGAAGGACTACAAAAGAGTATTTGGTATATATGAGCCTCTCATTAAAACTTGGCCTTGTACTGCTAGTGGGCATATAAATAGTATGCCCATTATGTTCTCTGGAAAGCAATGTGATGGCATGCATTAGGAGTCTTAACAAGTTCATTCCTAGTCTTTAGCCCAGCAGATTCTTAGAGATATAGTATAACCACAGGCTCTCTAGGACCAGTTCAACTGACCCCATCTTTTATCAACAGAGTGATTAAGAATTGTCTTTCAGAAAATGTGCAAAGTCTCGTAGCCAGAGCATGCGCAGAGAAAGAAGTCTTGACCTGAAATGACTGCAGAACCAAAGATCTGGAACCAAAGACAAGGACACGACTGGAATTTAAAAGTAGGACTCTTCTCAGAAGCAAGGGGTCCCTCATTCAGGAAGACTCGGTGTTAAAATTCCTTCCCCACCTCATTGAAAATGTTTAGAACCCTATCATAAAAGTTGAGAACCTCATCATAAGTGTTTAGAACCCTGTCATAAATATTTAAAACTTTACCATAAAGGCTTGAAGCCCACCAATCAAAACCTGTCCCGCCAGCGTTTCCACATGCCAGCCTGTTCTCCCTAACCTCTTAAATTTCACCCCAAATCCTGAATCGGGGAGGCAGACCTGAGGGCATGTGCCCCCTGTCTCCCTGTAGGTCAATCTCACAGAGTAAAGCTGATCTCTTTTCCCACAGGCTGATGCCGTAATTAACGGGCCACTTATGCACATCAGGCAAGAGAACCCCAATTTTGTGCAGTAACACTAGTTTAAGACTAGATAAAGCAGGAAGAAGTCCCAGTTATTTTTACATAGCAAAGCTGCCTAAACAACATAATGCCACACAAGTAAGTAAATGATTATATAAATTATTGCACATCCATGTGCCATATGCCTGGTTATACAGTTCCTGATACATGCTAAGACCTCGGTAAATATTTGATGAATTTATGACTGAATGAAATATAATGCACTTATGAAAATGTTTTCAAAGAATACACAATGGTATAAAGAAATACACTTGTAGTACTGTTAAGTGGAACAAATAGGATATAAAACAGCATATACAGCATGACCTTATTTTTTTAAAAAAAGAGTAAAAAGATTGAAAGAAAATATACTAATGTTGACAGAGGCCAACTCTAGTTGACTCATGAGTAATTTTTCTTATTAACATTTTTCATACTTTCAAACAATTTTAAAACAATAATCATATATTATTATAATTAAAAAAAATAAATGTTTTTCTAAAGGCCACACTGGGAAACTGAATTCTGATTTGTTGAATAAATGAACAGTGATCGATATTTCAAAGTCAGCTAAGATGTGATTTGTTTTAAATCAATTGCTTGTGTATCTCCATATATAGTACCCTCGGGTAAAGTGTATTACAGAAACTAATTCTCACAACGTCGTTTACCACCCTAGACAACTGAGTTAAGACTGTGTCAGTGCCACCTTCTAAAGATAATGAAAGCTATCCACTAATCTCCAAAATGCCTTACATAATTAGGAAAATGAAAACATTTTCTCATTTTTCAAATTCACAAAATAACCATTTACTTACTCATACTGATCTAAGTTGTTTGATTTCTTTCCCGTTACATAATTACTTGGGATATATCCTTCACTCCTAGAAATAAGAGAAATACTTTAGGTAAGCTGAAATTATCTTAGTGAGAGGTTATTAAAAGAAAAATTATTGCCTTTCTCAAATAATTAGAGCATAATATTTCCTAAATCTTATAAGAAAGACTAGGTGACCCCCAATAATTCAATGTATCTATAGCATTTGATGCTTTACAAAATACTTCCTCATTTGATCTTCACAAAAATTCTGAGGTAGACAGGCATTACTGTACTGACCTTCTTGTGAGGAAACCAAGGCTTAGAAAGATTAACAGACTTTCTCAAGGTCCCAAAGCTAGCCAGCAACAGGGCCAGAAGTGGAACTCTGAACTGGTGACTAGGTTCAGAGCGTTCCTGATACCCCAAGATGCTTCTCTTAAATTCACAATTTCTTGGGATGCTTTAAGGAAACCACTACTTCAGAAAAGTTAAAGTATTGGATAAAAACACCCGTCACTCCAATACCTCATCTAGAGGCTTGTTTCACAGAGGGTAGTCCCTGACGTCTACATCAGTAGCATCTGGGTCGCTTGTTAAAAAGGCAAATTCTTGCATCATATCCCAAAAGACTTGAATTGAGAAGGTCTCTTTGGGGCCAAGCAATCTTCAGTTTTACCCCAGATGACTCTTAGGTACACTGCAGTTTAAGAAGCACTCAGAGCAGGCAGAATTTGGTAGGAGCCAAGATTTTCAGCATAAGATAAAAGAGATACACGTATAAAATTTAAAAATTGAGTTAAAACCTTGTAATCTTAAGTTTGAACTTGAACTATGAGTAAGAACTCACAAAACACAACACACACACGAGTGTATATAGGTAGCTGTGTTGAACTGAGAAGGGCCTAGAAGCAATGACAATCCGGTAACAATTAGAATCCTAGCACCCTAACTGTTGTCTCTAAATACTATTTGTGACTAAAAGGAGCCAGCACATCTTGGAAAAATGGCAAATTGCAGGTTTGTCCAGGAAAAACACAAGATGAACTTAAGCCATTTTATTTTACCCAGAAAGCAAGGAAGCTAAGACTAAAGGGGTCCCCAACCAAAACAGCTACCACTGACCTAAGATGGGACAATTCAAGCCAAATGAATAATGACTGCAATGATTAAAACCAAATATATAAGCACCCATAATAACACTAAAAAAATTATTGGTTACCATTGCTATCACTAGAGGAAGCTCAGTCATCAACTTATTATTCTGAAAATTGGTAAAAGGAAAAAATCAAAAATTTATCTGGCCTTTCCTGCATGAACTGGTTGATGAGGCAGTTCTTCATTAGAAAATTAATAAATTAAAAAATTAATAAATGCAGATGGAATGACAGAATTAGAAAATCATTTGGCAATCCCTAATGAAATAATGAATGTAAGCAATAATCATTAATGATGCCAAAATCATTAGGTGAAACACTGATGAAGAACTTTATGATGGAGAAACAAGGTTGACACCTGAACCACTGAGCAATCTTCATATCATTAGAAGTGGGAAAACCAGGGATCAACTTCCAAATGTGATCAAGCCTCTTGATTACAGTTGACAGGAAATATAGGACATAAAGACATATTAAATGACGCCACTTGTAAGCAATTAGCTTAACCTAGAGTGTGGCTCATTTCATAGGGTAAATTATCTGGTTTCATCAGTAAGTCAAAAATGAAAAAAAGGATGGAGACTGCTGTGGAATAAAAGAGAGACATAAGACACATATCAGCCAAAAGACAATATGTGGACCTTGTTTTAATCTTGATAAAACTGTAAAAATACATATTAGAGCTAATCAGAGGACACTCAAATTACATACAGTCATGGATCGCTTAACAACAGGGATACATTCTGAGAAATGCATCATTGGATGATTTCATCATTGTGCGAACATGATAGTGTCCTTACACAAACCTAGAAGGTGTAGCCTACTATCCACTTAGGCTATATGGTACTAATCTTATGGGACCACCATCGTATATGTGGTCCATAACTGAACAAAACATCAGTATGCAGCACATGACCGTAACTGGCACATCCTTAGACCTGTGCCAGAGGGACACCTGCTCTGCCCTCACACTTTCAAGAGCATGCCATGTTCCCTCAGCCCTCTTCTAGACCACCATCTGGGTAACTAGGACCCCAGAATTCTCTGCCAATTGCCAAGGCCTACATGAGCCTTTCCAGTGGGTTCGTCCTCTGAAAAGCCAAGTATGCTACTCATATGTACCTCCTTCCACCCCAGGTCCAAGAGGTGGTCATGTTGGGGGGTAGCTGTTGCAAGCAATCTAGACAGGGCTTGGATGACAGCTGTGAGATGAAGTGTGGGACAGAACGGAAGAGAGAAGGGAGGCACCCTGGGAGGTAGCCCTCTGTGCGCTGTCACATTCTGGCACAGAACCCTCAAGCTCGGCCTTGTCATTTTGAAGGTATGTTTGTCAAGTTAGAGGATAAGTTATATTTTATTTACCAGTTTGTTAGCTTGACTTATAACTACTAAATACTAAGATATGTGCTATCTGGGCTTCATTCATACTCTTCTTCCAGTCCCAAAAATGGTAGGGAAAAGTCTATAGTTAACTGTTAAATATGACAATGACACAGAAGTTGTTTTAAAAAAATCTTTAGCAGTTAGACTTTGGCGTGAAATGATATGATAATTTAAGTTTACTTTTAAATATTGTAGGAAAAAACAATTGGGAGGATTGGTAAATCAAGACATTAACTATTGGTAATTTTTGAAGTCAAGTTACAAGAGGCTCCATTATACTATTATGTACTTTTATGGATGTTTGAAGATTTCTAAATAAAAAAATAAAAGTCAATCTTCTACAGTGTTTGGCAAAGAAAAGCAGTGACAACCTCCTTGTAAACATAGAACAAAAGGTTAGGAGCTCTCAAGAAGGTAAAAAGGCACAGCAAACCAGCACTCAGGAGATGTACCGTTGCTGAGAAATGAGCAGACGAGAAGGACCTGCCTAACCCAGGGGCTTCCAGTGCTTCTCCCGAAGTGGACTGAGGAATGGAGAATTGGAATTGGGGGTGGGGCAGGGAGGCGAGAAAGCAGACTTGCAGGGAGGGTGTGCTCTGGACAGGACAAAAAGTCCTCCTCTTCTTATCCATGGGAACTCAGAATATCAACAGGGTTATATTTCAGAGGCAAGCAGAGGATACAGGATTTCTTAATGAAGTCTAAAAGATACTCATCCCCTAAGTTTATCCCTATTTACCCATTTTTTTATCGATAATAAGGGTTGAAAGGACTGTTCCCTTTAAATCCTTAATTATCTTCTATAAATCATGCTTGTTTTTAAATTTCTTGCTTGTACGTGTACACACATACACCTATGTACATACATATAGACATACATGTATTCTCCCTCTCTCTCTCTCTTAGAAAAATCTAAGATTATTTACTTACCTCAGGGAGGAAAAAAATAAAATCTAATTTCCCCCAAACTCAAAATAATCCAATTAAACATATGATGGACCAGAAAGAGACCAGTGTAATGTATTCTAATTTCTAGAAAGAGGTAGTTGATCCATTTACATTTATTGAATCACCACTAAGAATACATTGTGTTACTGCAAAGTAATAATGTGCACTTTCACTTATGGCTGGCTGAACTAGTCTCATAACATGATAGTTGGAGATTATCCTCTTCTCACTCAGCACTTAACTCCCACGTACCCACTGTGTGTCATGCACAGACTGGGAATACTTACCCGTATTTATCTCTCGCTCTCCACCAATGAACATCATTCTTCTCTAATATGATATACTCTTGGCCTCTCTCTAATCTGAGGTCATGTGCTTCTGTCGCTTGGAAATCATACATAGCTACAACTATTTCTTCACTATTATCTTCTTCTTCAATTGGAATTGGTGGGGGAGGCCTTCGCTAAGAAAAGAGCATGACACATGAAAGTTTAGTCTTCTGCTTCAAAACTGGATGTGAAGTACAACACTAAATGATTCACACATCACCACAGAATAAAGCAGAAATCTCAAGTCTACCCAATACAATCTGGTGAAGCTTCCCAGGAGTTTGATGATGTTGATGCTATCGGACCTCTCATGGGTTTCAGAATACAGGACATGAGCAAAAGTTGTCTCTAAACATCAGAAGGCTGCTGCTCAGTGTCAGGGCGAGCTTTCCAGGGAGAGGTAAGAGTAATACGTGAGGAGCAGCCAGGAGGACTAAAGGTGGACCCACTGTTCAAATGCCCTGCAATGGGGAAAAAGCACACTACGGAGTGGAGTCTTCTATCAGGTCTCTTCCCACTCAAAGGAATCTGCACTTCTTTGTGCCTACTATGTGCAAGGCTCCTTGGCACCTAACACAGTTTTTCTCTTAATACTGATCCCATGAAGTAGAGTATATAATTCCCATTTTACAATTGAGAAAACAATGATTTAAGTAACCCACCAAAGGTCACTCATATCAGATTCACGTTGGATCAATACCTGTCTGGGTCCAAACTACATGTTTTCCACCATAGCCTACTCTTCAAAGGCATATCATTAAATCACTGAAGTCAGTCACAACACTATGGTCTTAAGACTGAAATATTCCTTTGAAGTCCCACACCTCTTATATAATTCTTGAAGCCAAAATACAGGCAAAATGCCAGATGATAAAAGGGCCCCCAATTATATATCATACCATTAAATTAAAATTATTTGACACCAAGAAAAACAACCAAATAAGACATAGCATTTCTGTTTCTGATATGACCTTGGGGGTAGGGGTGGGGAACAGCATCACATGAATGAATGCAAACATACTCAATAAACTGAAAATGCTCCCAAAAGTTGAAGACCACCTACCTTCTTTGTTTCTGGTGCTGGAGGTAGTGCTTTTCTTATACCTGAAAATGACAACAACAAAAATAGGTCAAAACCCCATCTACCAACGATTGATAGTTTTAAGGAAAAGTGAAAATGAACACATAAACAAGAAGCCCACTCTGACTCTCGCTCTGGTGCATGGTGCTTGTATCACTATTTAAGAACAGAATTTTAAAATGCTATTAAAGCTGGTTTGTATTTCTGCCTTCCTGAACAGACTGTAAATGTCATAGGGGTTGGGGCCATGTCTCGTTCTTTATAAACAAGTGGAAATACATCAAACTAAAAAGCTTCTGCTCAGCAAAGGAAATCATCAACAAAATGAAAAGGCAGCCTACAGAAGGGGAGAAAATATTTGCAAACTACATATCTGATAAGGAGTTAATACCCAAAATATACAAGGAACTCATACAACTCAATAGCAAAAAAATCAAATAACTCCACTAAAAATGAGCAGAGGATCTGAGTAGACATTTTTCCAAAGAAGACATACAAATGGCCAGCAGGTAAATAAAAGGGTGCTCAACATCACTAATCATTAGAGAAATGCAAATCAAAACCACAATGAGATATCACCTCACACCTGTCAGGATGGCTGTTATCAAAAACACAAGAGATAAATGCTGGCGAGGATGTGGAGAAAAGGGAAGCCTTGTACACTGTTGGTGGGGATGCAAATTGTGCAGCCACTATGGAAAACAGTTAGAGGTTCCTCAAGAAATTAAAAATAGAACTACCATATTGACCCAGCAATCCTCCTTCTGGGTATATACACAAAGGAAACGAAATCAGTACCTCAAAGAGATATCTGCACGCCTACGTTCACTGCAGCATTATTCACAATAGCCAAGACATGGAAACAACCCCAGTGTCCATCAACAGATGCATGGATAAGAAAATGTGGTGTGTGTATATATATCATGGAATATTATTCAGTCTTAAAAAAAGGAAGAAAATCCTACCATTTGCAACAACATGGGTGAACTTGGAAGACATTACACTAAATGAAATAGGTCAGACAGAGAAAGACAAATACCTCATGGTATCATTTATATGTGGAATCTTAAAAAAAAAAAAGTCAAACTTATAGAAACAGAAAGTAGAAAAGTGGTTGCCAGCGGCTGGGGAGTGGAGTAGGTGAAATACAGATGTTGCTAAAAGGGGACAACTTTCAGTTATAAGATGAATGAGGTCTGAGGATCTGAAGTCTAACATGGTGACTATAGTTGGTAACACTGTACTGTATAATTAAAATTTACTAAGAGTATAGAACTTAAATGTTCTCATACACACACACACACACACACACACACACACACACAAAGGTAAACACATGAGGTGATGGATGTGTTAATTAACTCAGTGGGAGGAATCCTTGCACAATGCACAAGTATATCAAACTATCACGTTGTACACTTAAATATCTTACAATTTTATTTGTCAATTATATCTCAATAAAGCTGAGAAAAAAAGCAAAGAAAAGCTGCTGATGGTACCACATTAGGATCACACTTTTAATAGAGTTATTTTTAGCAGGCTTCCATATTGTGATAAAAGCTCCCCAAAATAGACCTTTTGGTTCCAATGGATAGTCCCACTGCTAACTAAATATAATTATTCTCACAAAATATACCTACCCCACATTTACACTGTACTAGCAAATGTGAAGGCCGTACTTAACCAACATCAAAATCAAAATCATGTCACTTTCTTGCTAGACTAATAATATGTACATCCTGGGCACAATATAATCACAGAATAAAATGAATACTTACTACTCTCAAAAAGATTATATTTTTCACAACCAGGTGCTAGTTTTTCAGTTTGTCTGCAACACTGATAACTTCCATCTGTCCAAAATTTAGGATGATATTTAATCATAATATTATTGTTGTTCTTTATTTCTGTAATTCATAGATACATGAAATGATTAGTGAAATAAAACAAACATAACAAAATGTTTCATAAGTAACACTGTCAATCATTGTTTATTTCTTGGATACCATGTTCATTGTGAGAACACCCTCATAACATCATACAACTCAGAATTCAGAAAATCCATATGGTTCTCTTTCATCTCCTTTTTTGGTGAAGCACCCTTGTTAACAGAAGTGACCTTTGCTACTCCGTGATGGATAAACACCAAAGTCAGCCCACCACCATTTTGTTCCGCAGAAGAAGCAATGAGAATTGTGCAAGACAAATGCCCCATTTAAACACTTTATGCACAAGTCAATTCATTCACACCAAATGTTGACTACATAGGAAATTTCTTAGAAAATACCAAATCTTATTATGATAAAAGCCCAGCGCTCTATCATCTTCAAATGTATTACACATTAAATGAAAGCATGCTTTTCTCAGAAACTATGTATATGCTACTAGAAGGAATCAGATTTAAAAAAAGGAAATTATCTTCAGTATGTATCACTAACAGTAACAGAATGTCCTTGGAGAAACATTTTTTGTAGATTAAAAGATTATAAATGCAAGATATATTACTGTATTTCTGTTTTAGTGATAACAATGTTATATCCTAAAATTATGCACAGATTAATATTTCAATACATGGGTTTTACCTTCTTTTAACTTCTTCACCCACCGGTCTCTGCTTTGTGCACTAGGTGCAAAAACGTAAAGTGTGTTAGCATCATGAACAACCTAAAACATAACAAAAGATGCAAGAGGTGAGAAATACTTAGACACAGCACTTCTGTCTAGCACAGAGCTCTCGGTACCACCGACACCAATAAATGATTCTGAAATGACTGAAAAAAGTCAATTACTTCAGATCCAAAGAACCTAGATTCCTTTCTTATAAAAGCACATCTATTTTTTCCTGTCTACATTGAGTGGAACACACTTCTTACAAAGGACAGTGTCTTCGTAGAAAAAAAATATATACAGAGGCCAGGATGCTTCACTTATCTTGTCATTTCTTGCAATCTAAGTAACTAAAGTTCCTCAGGTAAACTTGGTGTAATAGGGATTATTCTAATCTAGCATTTTTCTGAATAATATTTTAGATGAACGGACTCATCTTTCGGCATCATTCCTATAGCTTCCTTTTGAGACTTTAAATAATTGCAGTAGCTAACTTTATTAAGCACCAAGTACTCCAACTCTATGCTGTGCGCTTTACAGACATTAACTCAATTAATCCTACCATCAAGGTTTTAGTAATTCCATTTCACAGAGGAAGAGACTCAGGTCTATCCACTGCCCCGCCACTCCCGTATAACTCCAGGAGGCACCATTCACATACAATGCACTGCAAATGGCGCTCGCTAATGGCATGCTTCTCAACCTGCCCATCACCATTTGGTTGGTAACCCAGAAAGCCAGGATCCTGACTCCAGAGCCCAAACTTTTAACCACAAACTCACTAACTCCCAAGGAGTAATTTAACAGTCTTATTCTTAATATCTTTAATATTAATAATAAAATTAAGCCTGGGAAACTAATCCAAGAATTTTGTCTTTGATCTATCACTTTCCCTTAATGGTCGGTCGCAAAGCAGAAACACTTTAATTGGCTAAAAAGAAATATATGGCTAGAAACTTCCCTTTACCATGTCAACAGCCACTGGATTGAACACAAATAGCTCTTTCATTGATAAACGGCTGTTCCTGACCATATTCAATAGGTAATTCCTTTCCATTCATCATATAAATGCAGTCTAACAGCAATGTGCACGCCATAGAACAAATGATGTTATATTCCATTCAGTGATTAATTCATTCAACTAGCACTTTGCTGGGACTACATAAGATACAAAAATAAATCAAACATGAAGCCTATTTCCAAGACATGTATAGCAATTTCTTATTACAAAACAGAAAGTAAGGCATGATAGAGAGGTAAAGATAAGTGCTAAGAGACTTGGGGATATACGCTGCCCCATTTGGTTCATAATTTTCACATTTGTAATACTGTGATTTTGTACTAAGAAATATATATTTGTTCTTCATCCCAGTTCCAGACACAGAGCTCCTAAAACCCTTGGAATTTCCTGCGCTGAGACTGATAAAGATATATTTTGTTATGCTAATGAGATGGCTTTTGGAAAACACCTACAGATGAGGACTGGCCAGTGAAGCCAACCATGTGATTAGAGGGTTGGAACTTTCAGTTCCACTCACCCACTTCCGGGAGGGGCGAGGGGTTAGAGATTGAGCTCAATCACCCATGGCCAATGATGTAATCAATCATGCCTATGTAATGAAGCTGCCATTAAAACTCAAAAAGGAGAGGGGTCAGAGAGCTTCCAGGTTGGTGAACACATGGAGATCTGGGGAGGGCATGGAAGCTTTGTGTCATTTCCCCATACCTTCTCCTGTGCAGCTCTTCCATCTGGCTATTCCTGAGTTACATCCTTTTATAGCAAACCAGTGATGTAGTAAGTAAAATGTTTCTCTGAGTTCTGTGAGCTGCTCTAGCAAATTAATGGAACCTGAGGCAGCGATTGTGGGAAACTCCGATCTATAGCCAGTAAGTTAGAAGCACAGTCGACAACCTGGACTGGCAATTGGCACTGGAAGTCGGGGCAGTCTTGTGGGGCTGAGCCCTTAATCTGTGGAATCTGATGCTATCTCTGGGTAGAACAGTGTTGGAACTGAGTTGAATTGTAGGACACCAAGCTGGTCAGAGAATTGCTTGGTGGTGTGTTAAAAAAACAAACACATTGGAATTGAGAGTCAGAATCTTAACACCTCACCCAGGTTAGTCCATGCAATCAACTCCATACGGAAGAATTAGGTTAAAATGCACCATAAAACCATCATTCTGAATTGACACGGAGGTATCCAGAAAGAACTGCCAGGGCTTGGAACTTTCCGGAAATCTAGGTGTCTCATAATAAGTTATTACAATAGTTTACTTTACTGAGTCTTTACGTTGGGCTAAGCACTTTACACACACGGCCTAGTTTAATCCATCTAGCAGCCCATGTCTCTATTAGCATTAGGATCCTCATTTTCCAAATGAGAAAACCAAAGTGGGTGAGGTGAAGTCATCTGAGCAGGATCTGTTTGATCTCCTAAGGCTCTTCTTATTCATGTTTCCTCTGAACAGCTTCATGGCCCCTTGACTGTTCCCTTCCTAGAATCCGCCTCTTCAGGCTCCAAACAGTCTAACTGCTCCGCGAAACTCCCTCACGTCAGCACTGTGAGCTTGTAATTTTGTTAAAGCTTGTTAAAGACCAGCTAATCAGAAGAAAATTAATCCAAATTCAGAGTTTTGATAACCAAGACTAGATATATTACTGAGCTAACTCAGGGCATTTGTATTTCTATAAGAAATTTTTAGAAATAGCAACGTAAGCTCAAATAATAAACGTCTACATCTGGCATCTCAGGTAGTTTGGCAGGCTGCCAGGTGAGACATCTGGGGTCCAGGATCCTTCCCTCAGCAAGTCCCGATGGCACCTGTAGGCCACCTCCCATGTCTTCCATACGGACAGCTGACAGTGACAGAGAGAATCTGGGGAGCCTTGTTTCTTGTGTGTCTCGCATCTTCTGTGAGTCAGCCTTTCACAGGAGAGGCTGTCAGGGAAGGAAGAGCTCTGCAGACCTTGAGGCACAGAAGCCATTTCAACAAGGTGGAAATATACTCTCCTTTGGTAACACTGCCAACTTACTAGTTACCCGCCCTGCTATTTATATCTTCATTCACTCATTCATTTATCCAACAGACTTTTAATAACAGTGTGCTGTAGGAAAAACAGCACAGATGTTATATAGACACACAGATCTGGGTTCAAAACCCAAGAAAGAAACGCCGGCTTCTGGGGAACTCCTGGCTGCCACCAGAAACGATTCATCCAAGAAAGCAGTGAAGTGGTACCTCACCAGGCAGCCAGTCCCTCCCTATGCTCTCTGTCCCTTCCTAGGGCTAGAACATGCTGGAAGAGGAAGCAACCTTCTTTTTTCTTTTGGTGTCTTCTGAAAATGTCTTCTACTTTTTTTTTTTGACCCTGCATCTGAAGGTGATGCAGACTTTCACCGTGAAAGTGTGACTAGAATCTAGACTTTCTTAAGTTATGGTTAAGTTATAATAAGAGAGGATATTTTTCATCTTTCAAATCTTGCTGGTTTAAATTACGTAGTTAAAGCTCAAGTTTACCTCTTCTTAACTTTTAAGATTGCTTTTTAACAAACGTCCTCAACCAGAGCAGGGAGTGGCTAGGTGCAGCGAGGGGTCATGTGCTAGCTGCTGCAAGCTCTGGGATGGCGGGGGCCAGCTCTGCACTCCTGAGTCCTCAAGGCTTGTGTGCAGGATGCCACACCTCCCACCGTGGGAGTGACAGGAGCTGAGGACGTGTTCTAGGGAGGCTTTTCATTCACAAAATGACCTTGCACAAGTTGTTTAACATCTGTGAGCCTCAATTTCCCCAGTCATAGATGAGAATAGTATGGTATTCATCTCCCTAGTCTAACACGATCATTGCAAGGAAAAAAATGGAATAAGGTAACCTTTTAAAAAAGTATGGCTTTGGGGCCGGCCTGGTGGCACAGGAGTTAAGTTCACATGTTGCACATCGGTGGCCCATGGTTCCCCAGTTCGGATCCCAGGTGCGGACATGGCACCGCTTGGCAAGCCATGCTGTGGCAGGCATCCCATATATAAAATAGAGGAAGATGGGCACAGATGTTAGCTCAGGGCCAGTCTTCCTCAGCAAAAAAGAGGAGGATTGGCAGCAGATGTTAGCTCAGGGCTCATCTTCCTCAAAAGAAAAAAAAGTACGGCTTTATATATAATGCTAATATATTCTGCATCACAAGCAGCCTTTTAATCTCATTTCTGCTCAAGGAGCTCACTCCTGCCCTTTCTCAGTTTCTCAAGTTCACAGAGAACACCTCATCCCACTTTTTTCAGTCTCAATCCCCACTCCTTATCCTGACTTTTCTGTGATAAATCTGAGTAATAGCAAATTAGGTCTGGGGTTTACATACTCTGGGTGTTGGCAGAATCTAACAGACCACAGAAAGAAGAAGCTAATGTTTCCACCAACACTTAAACTGTTCATGAAGAAAAGTAATTATTATTAAAGTACAAATGAACCTAAAAATCAACTACCGCATGATCCAGCAGTCCCATTTCTGGGTCTCTATCCACAGGAAATGAAATCTGGATCTTGAAGAGATATCTGCCTGCCCCTGTTCCGTTCAGCATTATTTGCAATAGCCCAGATATGGAAACAACCTAAATGTTCATCAACAGATGAATGGATAAAGACAATGAGGTGTGTATATATACAATGGAATATTATTCATCTTTAAAAAAAAACCAGAAATCTTGCCATTCACAATAACATGGATGAACTCAGAGGACATTATGCTAAGTGAAATAAACCAGACACAGAAAGAGAAATACTGCATTATCTCACTTACATGTGGAATTTAAAATAGCCAAACTCATAGAAGCAGAAAGTAGAATGATGGTTGCCAGGGGCAGACAGGAGGAAGAAATGGGTGAGATGCTGGTCAAAGGGTACAAAGTTTCAGTTATACAAGATAAATGGGTTCTGGAGATCTGACGTACAGCAAGGTGACTGCAGCCAACAATACTGTACTGTATACTGGAAATCTGCTAAGAAGGTAGACCTTCTTAAGTGTTCTCACCACAAAAATAAAAATGGAAGAAAACGGTAACCAGGTGAAGTGATGGATATGTTAACTTGATTGTGGTGATCATTTCACAATGTATACATAGATCAAACCATCAGCTTGTACACCTTAAATATATACAATTCCTGTGTCAATTATACCTCAAGAAAGACGAAAAAAAATTTTAAATCAAACAACAAAGCAATGACAAGAAACTATGATGTCAAATAGTAAGCATGACTAAAAACCCACAGTTATACTGCTGCAAAAATATGCCAGCTCACCTGAAATGGATATTTATTTTGACAGGGAATGACACCGTCATCATTCTTCACTATTTCCACACACTTGATTTTTGAAACATCAATAAATCCCTTTCTGTATTTTTTCTGTTAAAAGAAAAAAGTGGGGGGAGGGAGAACCATTACAATCACAAGATATTAAAAAAAATGTTATTAATAGTAATATTTGTTAATGAAATCCCCGATTCAAAATATTACTATTTCCGTAATAATTATCTAAATCATGGCTCCCTCTACTGTTAAAACTGTTCAAAATACTAACACTGTGAAGACAGTAATCAAACTAATTAAGTCCTTTAATTTCTAAAGATGTTCTGTTCCTTCCCCAAAAAACCTCTAGAACAGCAATGGATTCTCTTTTATTGTCACCTTCCCCATCACACATACGCCTTACCTTCTTCAACTTCTTGATGACAACCCCCCTGAAGAAAACATCAAAGTCCAAACCAAGCAAACTTCCACGTACTCCATCACAGCCACACACTCCAGCCGGTTACATCTTCCCCTCCAGCACACAGAACTCACGGCGTTCACACTGAAGCCTCCATTCACTCTCTCTTATCGAATGCTCTACTTTTCCTCCCTGTCGCCCTCCCTCCCTGCTCTCTGCAAATTCCCCTGCAGGAAGTAACCAATGACACATGAAGACACCCCTCCCCAAATCAGCCACACCCTCCAGCACAGTAATCTTACCTCTGAGAATTTCTCCCAGGGAAAAATCCAAAAGAATGCAAAGCAGTATGTGCAAAGATAATTTGATACACCATATCCATTAAAAAGTATTACAAACACAATGTAGAAATAAAAATGTTTACTGAATAATAGTAACTGATGCGTTCCACTCAAAAAGCTGTATAAAGGCTAAGGTTACATTTTTGAGGTGGGGTAGATATTTATATGATAAAGAGCAGAAGAGAAAGTAGAGAAATGAAGAATGTTCTAGTATTTGGGGTGACTCAGCCATTTCCTGGCCCTGGTCATTCAAAATTGCTTCATCTAATACTTTGAAATTCCCTTCTGGCCACAACCTTTGGGACCCCTACGCTGCTCCCAGGAACCTGCTCTGCATCTTCACTGTCACCATAAGACTTTCAGACCTGCCGACTCTCCCAGGCCGTCAGCTCCCACCTGATACCTGACTAGACTACTCTGGCTGTCATTTCACCAGTGCATCCTCTCTCTCTTCCACACACACTCACACACACACACACACACACACACACATCCCATACTCCCTTGACATGTTTGTGAGTCCCCAGTTCTATCCATACCTTCCCCTATTCCTGCACACCTGGCTGCAGAAGGTCACGAAACAATCCTGTCTATCTTCTCTGTGCTCAGCTAGGCCTTCACTGCTGCTCTCCTTCCTTCTGTGCTTTCATGGAGACCACCAGTCTCATCAGCTCTACAGTCCCTTCCCATTCCCCTGGTCCAGTGGACAAGGTCCTTCACTACTTTATGGAGAAGCAGCAGCCATCTCATGAACACACTCCCAACTTCTTCCTTCTGCAGGTCAAAAGCACCCTAAGTTTTACCCTTTTTCCTTCTCTTTCATCTTGTGTTGAAGAGAAAGTTAAAAGGACACAACAGTTAAGACATGGTAGCTGGCACTTAACAGACGTTATTTCATTTTATGCTCACAAAAGTCTCCCCACTTTACAGATGAGGCACTGCAGCCCAGACAAGTTAAATAATCTCCCCAAGGACCCCAACTGACCCCAAAGCCCACCAGACCCCGGGATGCCTCAGCTGCAAACAGGTGACAGAATTATTGAAGCCAAGTCCCCAAGGGGGCAACAAGGATTCTGAGCATGGACTGAGCTTCAGCCAGGACAGGAAAGGGGACATTCTCCGTAGTGGTGCTCTTCCAAGGCATTTACTTCTCTGCCTGTAGACACATTCAGGCCCCTCCCACCCAAACCAAGAACCCTTCTTGTGGCCCCGCGACTGCCCTAACTCTTCTCTTCCCTTCCTGAAAACGATTACACCTTCAGCCTTCATTTCCTTTCCACCCACTCCTTCTTAACCACTTGCAATCTGCCTCCCACCTCACCACAGCCTGCTAACGCCACTCTCAAAAACATCATCAGTGACCAAACCTGGTGGTCTTTGCTCAGTTTCCACCCGCTCAAACCTTTATGAGGCATTTGAGAGTGCCGACACTCTCTTTTCCCTTAGTGGTCTTGATTTTGGGTCATTCTGGTTTTCCTTGTCTCCCTTCCCCTCAGTTTCCCACTGGACAATACCTATAGTTTCACACAGGACTATATTCCTGAGCATACGGTCCAAATATTGTGCCATTTAATCTTCACAGCCACTCTGTGAGAGAAGTAGTATTAGACACATCTTCCACAAGGAAGAAACTAAAATTAAGTACCTTGCCCAAGTTTACCTGTGGGCGAGACATACACAGTAATTATTTATTATACAATGTAGTAAGTACTGTAATATAAAAAGATAGTAAGAGAACATAGAGGAACTAAGGCTTAAATGACAATTTCAGAAAAGAAATTCTGATATATGATAGGAAATGAACAGCACATGCAAAGAAAAACCTATTCTAGAATGACCTCAGTTGCCTCATCTGTAAACTGGGAATAATTATAGTATCTACTTCATAGATACTATTACCTAGTTATGAGAATTAAAATGAGAGTATTTGCAAAGTGCTTAGAAGAGTATCTGGCCTGTAGCATGATATCTCTGAGTGTTTGCTACATAAATAAATAAGTAACAAAAAAAGATCAGTGTGGCTGAAGCACAAAGTACATGAGGCAGGATGGAAAGACCAGCAGGGACCAGCTTGTGAAGAACCTGGTGCAAAGTGTTAAGAGGTCTGGTTAGACAGGGCCACCCACCCTGGTCCTGGAGCCTGCACCCTTAATGGGCAGACGAAATTGCCAGAGCATCATCCTCCTGTTAACAAGCCACACATGTTCCTTATAGAAACCTTATAAAATACTAACAGCACAAGGAGAATGAAATAACCCTTACTCCCCCAACCCTGAAGAAAATCACTGTTGACCTCACGGAGTTTTCAGACATTGCTCTCAGGGGTCATTTATCACCAGCCAGCTCACTTGGTCCTCAAGCAGCAAGTTATAGTCTGCTTCCAAGATGCCCACCACCTGCCCCTGCTATTAAAAGCAGCTGTTAGATCTGCATCAATCTATACAGGAAAATTCGGGATGACTTGTGTACTGGGTTGGCTTATGTCCCCTAAATTCATGTTCTGTATTATAGTCTATATTCATGTACTGTACTAATATTTGGGCTTATTAATCCAAATATCTTGCTCTGAAGTTTGCAAATAAAGGTTCAAATTGAAGTTGCTCATTCATTATTCTATCTATCCCATCACGGAACACTGATCAAACACCAAGCACAGAGCTACGTGCTAGAGCTTCAAAGTCACAGAAGGGGGTTGACGGTCTCCTCAAGAGGAGTTCCTAACACCAGGGTGGGGAAGGGGAAGAGGGGAATGATTCATAATCAAATAATGACGAAGTCAGTGAGCTCAAGGTGTGCTACAGAGTGGGGCAGTGGTTGGGCCAGGAGTCGGGCAAGTTTCAGGGAAGGTGACATTTTGATTGGGTTTTTACAACATAAGTAGGAATTCTTCTGTAGTGAAAGTGGAGATGAGAGTTCCAGGCAGCAAAAACAACAAAGCTCTGATTTAGGGAACAGAAAGAAATTCACTATGGCCAAAGCTCAGGGTGGTTCAGAGGAAGTGAAGGAAATGACTCAAAAGGTTATTTGAAACCGAATCAAGAAGATGCTTATATGCCAGACTTAGGAGTTTGGATTTATCCTGAGTGGTTTTAAGTGGGGAATGAGGAGGGCTGGGTTGAGGTGTGTTTTTGAAAAAACGATTATTGGGGCCGGCCCGGTGGTGCAGTGGTTAAGTGCGCACGTTCTGCTTCTCGGTGGCCCGGGGTTCGCCAGTTCAGATCCCGGGTGTGGACATGGCACCGCTTGGCAAGCCATGCTGTGGTAGGCGTCCCACGTATAAAGTAGAGGAAGATGGGCATGGATGTTAGCTCAGGGCCAGTCTTCCTCAGCAAAAAGAGGAGGATTGGCAGTAGTTAGCTCAGGGCTAATCTTCCTCAAAAAATAATAATTATTATTAATGGCAGTGTAACAAATGGGTGGAGACAGAGAGGCTGGCTGGGAGACTGCTGCAGCATTCAGGCGAGGGCTAATGGGGTTGTGAACCCAGTCAATGGCAGTAAGCAGGTGAGGAAAGCAGGGAGGTCAGAGTCTTAGGAGGCAGAGGCCACACAACTTTGGGAGCAGTGAGAAGTGGGGATTAAGAGAGGAGTCAGGGAGCCTGAGGCATTCTGAGTTAGAGCAACCGGTAGACACGGATACCATGAACAATAATAAACACAGAAGAGAATCAGGTTGGAGAAGGCAAGGTTGGGAACTGTTGTTTGAGTTGACCGTTGGACAACCAGGTGAAAATGTATGAAAAGAATTGAAAATATGGGGCTCAAACTCAGAAATGCTTAGCATTTTCTTTATAGATAAAGAGAATCCTTCTTTTCAAGACACATATATGGTATATTCAGTAGAGTCTTTTTCTAGCCACACCTGGGGGTAACCCTGGGAGGCAAAGCAGGGACAAGGAAGAAGAGGTTTGCAATGATTGAGAGACTCATCAGAGGGAATCCAGAGAGTCACCGGAAGCACCAGATGCCCTCTTAACACCTGGTCTCTCAACACCTGGTCTGCACACTTTGCTTGTTTTTTCTCCATTTAGACTATTTAGAATTTCTTCAATAAGGAAATTACTTCGTGATTACTGAAGTATGCTATATATTATTGTCAATATTGTGGCCCAAGGAGAAATATCTAAAGTCATTACTTTTTTCATGCAAAGTTTCCCTTCTATTTCTATAGCCTTCGCCCTGCCCACTAGACTGAAAAATCACGATTAAGCTGAGACCTCCTCTTACTCATCTTTGAATCCTCCAGGTGCAGAAGACTGCCTGGCACTTAGTAGATGTTTATTAAAAAGTGTGCTGAGCCAGTCTGAAAAGAAGGATGAGTGACACTGTGTGTGTGCATGTGTAGGATATATACTT